TTATATAATAATGTTAGACCCCCCCAATTTTTTTTCCAGTTACAGCCTTGAACACGTGTACACGTAGTCTGAACATTAAACAATAGTGTGTAGGAATAACCGAATATTTAAAGTTCGTGTACACGTGTATTAAAAGTTCATATACCGGTGTATTATATTATAAATATATATAATGTGTAAATATTCAAAATTTAAAAAGCATGACCAGAAACAACCCTTTATTAATGACAAAATATAAATAAGTACCTATAAATAATTTTTTTAATTTTGAATATTTACACATTATATTTACAATATAATACACCGGTATATGAACTTTTAATATAAGTGTACACGAACTTTAAAAACACGTGTAATTAAATACACTTTATTCGTTATTTGGTTTGTTCTTAATATTAATATTTGAAATTTAAATATTTGTATAGCTGAAAAATCGTATTCAAAATATATGTAATGTTGTAGAGTGGGGTGTGGCATACATGGAAAGCAGTTTTTAAGTCGTTGGACTGATCTCCTCTACATAATTTTCCCAATTCAAGCACTGCATAGGCGTATCCAGACTTTCATAGCAATTCGCGCACAAGACAAATATACAAATGCGATACTGGATTAGTAAAAAAAAAAATACGATCTTCAAATTTTGAAAGAAATCATTATTATCTTATAATACACATACCAATATAAAAAACAAATTTTCCTATTTCCTACTATAATTCTAAACGTCGTTTTGTTGGAATCATAACTTTAGACAATCGTTTCAATTTCAATTAAAATGTATAGTAGCTACTCATTTATATAAGATTTTATTATTTTGGAATAAAAATACTAAATTTAAATTTAAATTTATGTTCCTATATTTATATTATTTAGAATTAAAAAGTGGAGAGGACCTTTTTTTTACTTCTGTACATGGATCCATTATTGGTAAGAATCATCATCAGTGTTCGACTTAAGGCGGCGGAATTTTTTTTACAAAAACTATACATTTCTTATCCACCAGTACGATTCGCAACAATAAGGGTTCTTCACACACAAATACTGCATAAAACATACATATAAAAAAAACTATCACAACTTTTGAATAAATAAAAATAGACCAATAACAATTTAAAATCCTGGTATCTTCTAAGATTGAATAAATTCTATCATGTTCTTATTAAAGCTGAGATTATCTGTTATCATAAATTGATAATGATGAAATTTCAAATACTTATCAAAATCACCTAGGAGGATGAAATTTGTAGATTGAAGTAATTGTACATAATATCTAATATTAAAAATATTTATCTTATATTTATTGAGTTGTTATTAATAATAAACTATTATTAATAAAAAATTGTTTTATATTTTATTATTTTTAGCAGAATGTATTTATATCATATGTGGCCAAATAATAAGTAGATAGGTATACGAATCATCTCAATTTTTTTATAGGAAACAATATAAGTTTAATTTTTATAAGATTCATTTTTGCTCCTTCCCCTTTAAGAAATCTTGGCGACGCTACTGATATATATATATATATATATATATATATATATATGACCTGTCTAATGACCATTTGCCTGTAATAATAACTAGATGAAACCCCATTCAAAACATTAGACTTTTCTTAACAAACGGGCAATCAAATAAATTTGACTAAATTTTAAAAGCCAATAATACCATAAATTTAAATATATATCCATAAAAATATACAATTAAATAGAACGTACAGCTATATTTTTAGTAAAATATTTCGGATACCTTACTCCCTACTACTCAAATCGTACTTAAAAGACAGAACTTTTCAAGTACGTTAAGGAAACGAAATTTCGGACTCTTTCGGTATTGATGCAGGTGTTCCGCAGAGTAGTGACTTATACAATTAATATACTAATTTATACAACATACGCTGACGAAACTGTTATTTTGTCCATTAACAACAACTCCATAATTGCTTCTAAAAACCTACAAAAACACTTCTAAAATCGAAACTTGGAGAAAAGCGGAAAATGAAAACAAACTGCTCATATTACATTTAAGGGGATTCGATCCGTGTAGTTTTTAAGGGGTTGAATATGTGCAATTTGTCACACGCGTGCGTGAACGCCATGAGAGTGTGTGTGAAGTAAATGATCACTAATGTGTGTAATTACCCCGCTCTATACCCTCTTTCAATATGCCATGCCGGGCCATATTAATCTCATGTTGCTAATCACCAATGCATCGGCGCGGCGGCAGAATCAGTTTTCCAATAATAGTTCGTATTTTACTTAATACTATTGCCGACGTAAAATTACAAACCCTTGAACCCCCCCCTGCGTGCACCGCTAATTATACGTACCATAGACTATAAATATAACACATAAGTTTTATTTTTAAGAATTATATAAAACATTTAAATGCTTATTCATTATATATTTTTAAACATAGTTTGATTATCCGCACAAATCGTTCTTCAAAACTCTAAACAAATGTATTGACTTACATTGAAGTATTAGTTCCATAACCAGGTTCATTCTCCAATGCTGAAATATTTCTGTCCGTCTATATAATAAATATTTAATAAATTAAAAATAGCTATCACATACACATCATAATTAATATATAGCTATTTTGATTTACCATGTCAGTTGTACGATTTTCTCGCCATTTTTTAAGTGCATTAAAATTTCCTCGATGTTTTTTTATCAGATATTTTCTGCGGCGTTTTTTTGACAAAACGTTCTGCATAATGTAAATATCACAGAATTTATGTTTTATTTTTATATATTTAAGCTGTACTATAAATCAAATACGAATGAGCTACTATAGCTGATTTCTAACATTTTAATTTTCATTTACAAAATTACCTATGTCTTATCATTGAGAATTTATTTATAGGTTTTTGAATTATTGCAATATTTAGCCCAATTTCATTTGGGTATAATATAATATAAAATTAACAGATTGATAACGATGCGGGCACTATAATTAGCGGCGCCGCGCCGGCACGGCAACGATTAGCAGAAGAGGGTTACTTCCCCACGCTCATGCACAAGTCAATACACACTGTTGTGAGGAATATGATTTAGTTTTATTTTTTTCGAAAAGAATCAATTTTTTGCTAATCATACTGGTTTCCTTGGTCATCGGATAAAACTTCTAAAAACATATTTGAATTAGACATGAAGTTTACTTGAAATCGACTTTTTTACATTTTCAAATTATTTTATCAATTTCATATTATTTACATTATAAATTTATTATTATTTTAGATTTTAAAATCAATTTTTTAAGGGTATAAAAATAATAATTCAAAAAAGTAAAAAAGTCGTTTTCAAGTCAACTTCATGACGAATTCAAATATGTTTGTATGAGTCTTATCCGATCATTGGGCAGTTCAGTAAAATTGGCAGAATATAGGTATATTTTGATAGAAAACGTAATCCGGATCGAATCCCCTTAAGTACCTACCTTGTAAAAAAACCACTGTAAGCTACCGATTGTTATATACGTACTAAATTATTCACACCATTTTATGAAGATTGAAGAAACAGAGTACAGCAGAGCTTGCGCTAATGGGTAGTTCTAATCAATATGGGTAGTTATAGTAGTTCTAAATTAAAATAGGCAATTCTATAAACCAATTTGGTCAGTACCAAAAATCGTGAATTTTCCGTATTATTGGAATATGTAATATTGTTTAATTAAATTGTATATTTTGTTTAATAGTTTTTGTTAAAAAAAAAATAAATATTTTAATTTGTTATTAATATTAACAAAGTGTAATAAATAAAATAATGTATAAAGTGTTTACATGTGTAGTCAATATATTGGTTAGTAATCAGTGGTTGTTAAGCGAATTTAGCAAGTGACAAATTTATTAAATTTTAATCATGTACAAAAACATTAAAATGTTGGGCAGTTCTAAAATTTTCTTAGCGCAAGCTCTGGAGTACAGAAATTAAGTTTTGGCATCTTCCCAAATAATTATTTTTTTGTTTGATCGGAAAAATTAAACTTAAAATATTGTTTAGATGAAAAAGCTGAGAAAACTTCCATTTAAATCAACATTTTATAAATACATACTTTGCTTATTTTTTTTAACTATAAAATATATATACAATAATAATATAAAAATTACTTGCATAGTATAAGATAAAATAAAATATGTAGGCGGTTTGGTCATTGGTTAACGTAGTCAAGCTTGTTCACCTCCAGTGCCGCAACTACAAAATGGGAGACCCGTGTACGTTAATTATATTGAGCCCCTTCCTAGGATTTATTTTTGTTCAATTTAAGTAACAATTTTATTTGATTTTAAAACACGTTTCACATCGGTTAGTGTATGATATATGTATATATATATATATCAAACTAAATACCTATAACTGTCGTATATTATACTTCACTACATATTTATGTAGTCAATTTATTTAAGTAGTTTAGGTAGGTATGTTGTATGCCTACTCAAATACTCAATAGGCTCATTGTTAAATAAATATTATATTATTCTAAAATATTATAACAACCTTAGCTGAATTTTAAAAAATGTTCTTTTTATTATTGAATAATTGTGTGTGTCTGTAAAGTGTAGTTTATTTCAGGCTAGGACTAGGCCCCTTCCCCAAATTTATGTAAACCTTGGTGCACATTCTGCACACCCGGTTTTTGTGGCACTGTTCACCTCGCTAATTGTAGCGACTCTCAGATATTGTAATTATTAATAAAATATTAAATACGTCTACTTAGACTATCTAGTACATTTAAAAAAAATGTAATATAAAACTCTAAATAATAATGTTAGGTTAATCAATGTGTAGATTCAAATTAAAAATTTAATTTAAACAAAAAATGCTAGGAATATAGAACAGAAAATATAGAGGTTTTGAAATGTATCGTTACTCGTCTTTAAATATATCATAATACCTACTTACTTTACCATAATATAATCTGATAATCTTACATAATTCAACTGTACAAAATCCACAGTCATATAAATAAATAAAATAATAAAAATTAGACAATAAACTTACTCGAACCACATTTATAAACTGTCGTTGATTTACTCTTATGTAAAAGTATTATTAATAAGAAACTCATAAATATTATTTTATCAAACATTTTGATAAATACCTAAATAGCTAATGAAACAAAAAACGATTGGTGAAAATTATTGTACAGTGACTGCGTCGGTACTACGAGTAGATGACCTTCTATAATATTAAACACTCCTTACTACATTTACCAACACAGCTTGTATTTAATTAAAACTTAATACAAAATAAAAATAAATGTACCTTCAAATTTATAACGAATCTGCACTTAACATTAAATAACTTGTAGTTCAAAATTGATAGTAGAAATATAATTATCGATAAAATACAACCTTAGGTGTATTAAAAACAAGCTAATTTTATTTTTATTTCTTCCAATAATACAATTACAAAATATATGCCTCATCGTTAAGGCCATAATAAGCAACTACATATGTTCATGGTTATATTTTCAATGTTGATTAGCAATTGTATTAATCAATTCATGTGATTAAGAAAATCTTTTCTTTGTAGAGTAAAAGATATATTAATTTAAGTTTATACATAATTATAAAATATATACCTATTAATTATATAAAGGCCTACATTAAAAAAGTGTTTTCACTTATTTTATTCTCAATTAATCGATTATCAGAAATTAAAATCAAACATTTTTAAATTATAAATGTTAGAAAATAAGTGCGTTGGAAAACACTCTGCATCCCACCATTTTTTGAAGAATAATGATTTTACGAGATTGGCCGATTAAGATTAAGAAAAACAATAAAAAATTCAAAATTACACTGCACTATTACGCATTATATAATATATATAAATAAAATACAAATTGCATTGCGTCCGTATGCGAGTAGAATTTTGAACAACCATCGTAAAAATTGCTATTACAATTAACCTGCTAGTATATCATCATAAAACAACATCCAAGTAAAATAAAATTCTAAGCTTTGGAAACTCGTGTCCATGTTCCGATTATTCCGTCGATCCAGCTCCACGCACCTCTAGGTATAATCAGAGGTGGAACTAGGAATTTCTATGCCCGGGGAAAATGTTAAAAATACACCCTATCATAGGTTAGGTTAGGTGGAATGGTTAGGTGGTTAACCAGAATGCTTTTGGTGAACAAGATGATCCGAGACGTAGATAGTTGGAACGCGGTCACGGAGTTCTGTTGGGTGATGATAAAGGCCAAGGAGGATGCGGAACCCGATAGAGAGCTTTTGGGAAGAAACCTAATTTAGTTAAGCCAACTTTTGTTGTAGGCCAATCGGTCATATTAGAAGGGATAGGGCCCTTCATTATCATTATCTTATTAGTAATGTATTGTATTCATTCAATAAACAATGCTGAGGAGCTGAAGAACTGCCTCACAAGGTATTTCCAGCCCTCAGCGATTTGGAAAAAAAAATAAAGGTGGAATAACCAAAATTTTTCGACGGCCTTAGCCCTTATTGTTTTAATAACCAATGTGTTGTTTTAACAATTCGATTGATTTACAATGTTTTAATATAAGGCCAATCCGTCCCTAGACATTTTGTTTCAATAATGCGATTGTATCAATTATCCGTGTTCTTAATAAGCGGCTTCTACTGTATGTGCATGAATATAAGCATTAGAATATTTCTACAAACTTTGAATTCAATTAATTAGGTTTTATAAAATAAAATATATATTTGATAATTTGTTTATTTAATTTACAATTATTATTTATTACAGTAAAAATACTCGTGGATATTTCTTGTCTTTAATATAAAATCACTTAAAATAATGCAGCTAACACATTTTTTAAATTTATAAACAAATAATAAATTAAGTATAATTAATTTTATTATGAATGTAATTTATTACATAGGATAATTAAGAGATACATCTTGTCTGGCCAGTTCTAATAACATAGGATCATCAAAGAACTTATTTATAGATACATCCTCACTTAGGCCTTTTCTCCTTCTAGTTTTTACCATGAATTCTCGAGCAAGATGTGTTGCAGGTTGTGGTTCTAAAGGTTTGATCACTATACTTTTATCAAGTGGATCACCAGGAACAATCTAAAAATAAACATTACAAATTATATTAAATTTTAAATTAATAATAGTATATAAATATATATTATATTATTTAAATTTAAGTATAAGTTGTTATAAAAATATATGATTATAAAATAAAAATAACAAAATTACAAATGATTAAAATAAAATCTTTTATAAGGTTTTGATAATCTTGAAGAAGAATCTGTTTAGTTGATAATCAAGCAGAAAATGTTTATAAAAGGAAGAATGTAAATAGAGGAAACTTAGAGGCTTAAATAACAGTCAATTATTCCACATAGTGAGACTTATTTTTCTACAATTAGCATACTTTTACATAAATATCTTGACTATGAATGATAATGATGTTATTGATGTATTATCACAGAATATTCTTTTATAAATAAAAATAGCATGAGTTTTCCTTTTATCAATATACCGAAGGACATAAACCCCCAAATAATTTGAGCTATTACCAACTATGGGTACTACTACTACTAAAAGGTATATGCAGTATTGAGGTTAATTTCATAATCATTAGTTTCATTTTCTCCTCAGTTCATAAATTAAATAATGAAATGTTAGATTCATGTTATGAATTATGTTATGAAATGTTGTGACATTAGATAAATGTCACATTTAAGCATAACAATCTAAATGGTAAATATTAAACAAAATAGTACAAAATCTGAGAACAATTATTAATTAAGATATTTATACTTATATTTTGTTATAACTCATCCATTTTAATATTTATAATATAATTTTTTTACCTGCCAATGATGAAAAACAGACAAACAGAATGCTTGTCCCTGAGTATGTGTACGTAAATCAGTTTCAAAGCCAAATGAATCTATAGCAGGAATAAAAGCTTTGATGGTATAAAGTGGTGATCCTGGAACAGGAGCATCTTGAGTTACATGTCCTCTTCGTTTTGCTAATACAGTATAAACAGCGGATACACAATCTGCTGGAGCTTGTACTTCAACATATAGATATGGTTCCATCAAACGGGGTGTTGCCATGAGAAATGCAGAATAAGCTACTCGACGAGCAGTAGGTATAATTTGGCCTATAAATTATATTTTTATCAATAGGATCTTCTTAAAATTTAAGAAAATAAATTAATAAATAATTTAATTTTTTTTTTAATTTTATTTAATTTAATAGATTATTTAATAATCTATTATTAAGTAATTAGTATTCTAACCTCCTCCTCTATGTAATGGTTCAGGAGCAATGACTGCATCTAATATTTTAAATTTAACATTACGAATTGGTTCTTCACATAAAGGTCCTTCCCTAGTACCCCATTGAAAACCCTAAAATTTAAATCAAAATTACATAATAATATTTAACTATTTTGATTTTACACAAAAATTACTTGAACAATAGAATCTCTAATAGACCTAAGAACATTTTTATCAACTTCTGAGGGTAAAGTATCATCTACAAGAATATTAGGACCAGTAGTATCTGGACCAAAAGCCCAAATAGAACGGGCAGCAAGTAAATCCCAATCATATTTAGATTGAAAAAATTCACCAATTTTTTTCCTATAATTATTAAATAAATATTGATAAATAATATTCATTAATGAATTGTAATTATATATATTACTTGTCCCATGAAATATCGACCACTTGATTTTCAATATCTTCAGCTAAACCTTTTTCTAATGGTTCTGCAATCATTGTAATCTTATTTCGTTTATTTGGAGTTTCAGCAAAACATTTTAATGATGATGTGTCAACGACAGTTTCACAAAATGCAACAACTGGATCTGCCACTTTTATATCTTTAAAATAAAATTATTTTAAATAGTTAATAAGAATTAATAAAAATTATACTTACCGATTTCTGAATACATTTTTCTTAAGTCGTGCATAACACAGTCTAAGTATAATTCACCAGTACCAAGTATAACATGTTCACCCGATTCTTCAACGCGAGTAATAAGAAGAGGGTATGATTTGTTTACTTTTCTCAAACCATCCAACATTTTGGGTAACTCTGATGGATTTACAGGTTCAACTAAAGAAATTTTCATTAATTTATAAAATATTTATAGAATCTTTGAAGTGCAAATTAAGGATAAATATTTGAAATTAACCAAAAAGTTAGATGTATAAATTAAATGTGTAGTCACATTTAATTCAATCATTAAAAACAAATATTTTATTAAATATTATAGGTATTTATACCTGCTATTTTTATAACAGATTGTGTATTGAATTTTAATGGTCTGAATATATATAAGTCATCAGTTGTTATAAGATCTGTAATTGTTGCTGTTTTGACAATTGGTTGATCAATGCCTTCGATCAAAACCCAATTACCAGCTGGTACACGATTAACCTCAACTTTATATCTAGCTTCATGCACCCATAATCTTCCAACTGTCATTATTCTAGAATCCTCTTCATCAACCAAAGAATAATTTTCACCTAAAACTCTTACTTCTTGTCCAGCATGTAAGGTCCCACTCATTACTCGTGCCAATACTTGGAAAAATGTACAATCATCTGTAGGATACATTTTAGTGCTATGCACCATTAAACGCCCCTAAAAGTAAAATTTAATTTAATAATATTGTAAAACAAATCGTATTTAAAAACACTTACATCAGGGTTGCAATCTAGCATATCTTTAGCAAGATCGGTGTCTTGAGGTCCTGTATAAATAGTATCTATTTTGTTTTTAGCATTTTCTGCTGGTGATGGTATATGGTTAACACACATATCAACAAAACCACTGAGATCATTTAAGAAGCGTCCACAAACAAGACGTAATAGTGGTCGTATATTAATATTCATTTCACGTTTTGTTAGTTTAATCCCAAGCTCATCCAAAACATCAGGAAGAGTAGTATCTACATCACCAATTACTTGAGCAAATAATTTGTATAATGGTTCTAAAATAAATTCAACAAAACTTCGTTGAGCGCTGTTGTGGGGAGATTTTTTAGAAAATTTTCTAGTTTTGGAGTTGAAGTAAATATCACCCCATAAAACTTTAGCAAAACTTTCAACTTTTACATTAGGATAATGATTAGCATAAAGTTTAGCAAATGATTTTAAAGTGAAACAAACTGCATATTGAGCAGATGCAAAACAAACATTTCCTATAATTGGCGATACAATTCGAGATGGATCATTCTGTGAATGTAAACTGTAAAAATAAATATTACTTAATAATAACTTATTATTTAACTTTAAAAGGGTAGTTTAAATAATATATATACTATAACATATAGCCTAGTATCATTTTGTATTTTTTACCTTAACAAAGAATTAACTTCATCAATAATGTGCTTAATTTTATAGTAAGCATCTTGAGGTGGAAGTTTAAGCTCCAACATTAGTCTGTCGATTTTATTTACACAAATAGTGATTGCTATTTTTTCCTAAAATAATTTTAAAAAAATTTGATATTTAGAACTAAAAGAACTATAAAATGAAGCACAAACTTGTATGGCATGTTTGATAAGTCTTTCTGTATTTAACATAACACCTTCAGCTGCATCAACAAATATTACAGCACCATCACAAATTCTGAGAGCAGCTGTTACCTCGTCAGAAAAGTTTACGTGACCTAATAAATAAGTACAAGAATAATAATTTAAATTAATGAACAAATCAAATAAAATTATCTTGATTTAATTAAAATATTACCTGGTGTATCAAAAATATTCATTAAATATGATTTGGAATTTACATCAGGTAATACTAATGTTACAGGAGTTGCTTTAATACTAACACCTCTTTGACGTTCAGTCATAAGTGTATCTGTATACCGCATCAAATCAGCATCGGCTGAATCTAAATTTAACTGTCCTAAGTCTGGATGGGTTTGGCGAACTAAACAATCTACTAAGCTGGTTTTTCCATGGTGAAGATGTCCAACTAATGCAACATTTCGCACTAAGCCTGCAACATCCATTAAATCTGCCAAATACCTAATAACAGAAATCACTTAATACCATGCTACTACATAAATATATAAAATTAAAATTACTCCATATTATATGTAGTATTGGGTAAATGTTGTTCTTTTATTTGAAAATTATGCTGTTTAACAGGAGCAATTAATGGAACTGTTAATGGTAATTCATCTTCTTCTTGCACTAACGTTTCTACGTCAGGCCCATAGACTTCAACAGCACTTGGATAATAACGTTTGTCTTCATGTAGAATAACACTCATACCCGGTTCTTCTGGTCCATCTTCGCTTTCATCAATCATCTAAAAAAAAAACTAGCATATAAAATATACACTATCATCATAAACAAATTAAATGTTTTACAAACATCAATGTCTTGAGATTCAGGTTCAGGAGATGGCGGTTGTTCTTCTTCCTCTTCATCGGATTCCAATTCTGGTCCAATGTAATTACCAAATTCATCATAAAGATCAGAATCCATTTTATGTAGTTAGCCACTAATCGAAATACAACAAATTCAACTCGCAAATAATGTTACAATGTGTATATCATCGAAGTTTACGTTTTGAAACGAACAATTGTGTATTTTTAACATAACCTTAAATTAACCTTGTACCGTGTAAACAATATCTTATCAATTGGTACAATAACTGATAAATATTATCTGGTAACAACAAAACGTATACGTGATTTACCCAAATTCCGAATGTATAGGTTATGAACATGACATAAGTTATTATCGCAAGTGATGGACGATTCTCAAAGTAAGTCGATTTTTCGAATTGGTTCAAAATCGAATTAAAAAATCAAAAAATCAATTTTTATTTCATAATAATGGCATATATAGTATTATTACTCTATGATATATACCTAGGTACAAATAATAATAGTGCAGATATGTCCATAATAAATGGAGTAATTAACTAGATAGCGCCTTAGAACAATAATTTCATACCTCATGTGTGAACATTTTTTACAAATGTTTAGCTTGTAAAGACATTTAATAATAATTAATGTTAGCAAACTTACGTAAGTCACTCAATTGATGCATTTGTGTGAAAAGAGAAGTTTTGTTGTGGTAACTAACTGTTCCACTTCTTTTTAATACAATTTAAACATTTGCTGAAGTGTTGCGAGTCCACCATAATTGTTGGTTTTATATTTAATATATATTTAGTGCCTAGATATATTTTCAGTTTACCTAGATTTGTGTTAGTTGAGTTTAATTCGGAGTTCCGATCACTCAATATATATTTTAAAATAAAGAAAATATTATAAAACCAGTAATTTATTTAATCTACACAGAAACATATTGTTAAATTCACTACAACTTCTTTTTTGATAGAATTGGAAATAAATTACATCTCTAATTCTTTGTCATAAATTGACAGACAAGATTTGGTACATTAATTTGAAAATTAATATCACTCACAAAAATTGCATGCTAAATAGAATAACCACCAATTTGGTTAGTTGTAACAATTTGTAAGTTACACCATTATATTTAAATTAATATATATATAGGTACACATTTTTCATCAACATATTTTCCATGTTTTAATTGAATGTCTTTTTTTCATTAAATGTTTTTACTTAATTTTTTATCTAATCCTATACGTAGTAAAGTACTATAACATACTTACTGCTTTTTTTTTTTAATTACTCTTTAAAAAATAAATTCAGTAGAATCAGAAAAAAAAATCGATTCAATGATAAAATCGCCTGGGCAGAAACGATTTTAAAATCGATAAATCTATCAAAAAAATCGCCTATCACTAATTATCACATTCAATTTTTTTTTTTCGAATTAATTCGTTGCCTATACAATAATATGTGGTTCATACCACACATGTGTATTTGCTCATTTATCCACTCTCCAAGAATCACAAAATCATATGAACACTTCCACCTACAATTCATGGGTGACAAGTTGTTTGAGAGTTTCACTGGACAGTGCAACTTGTTACCAGCAAGCGCTTTTTGTAATTGTCATAGTTTAAAAAGTTGATCGTTTTTCTAATTTGATATTAAGTTTAAATTGTTCTAATAACGATATTTATATTTGAACTGTTCAAACGAATTGACTGATTGTAATGGTAATATAATATTATATATTTTTAGTTTCATTCTTGTTATTATTTGGCGTAGTATTTTTTTTAAAAGTGCACCCACACCTTGAAAATCCTTAATCTTATAATTAGCAGCAAAGTACTTTTACATATTATTTTTAAAAATTAGCACTTATAATAAATTTTATTTGGTAATTAACTTCTTAGAAAACGCTTATCTTTATTTTCATATTGATGTAGAAATATTATATTTATTCAATAAGTTATAATTTTTGTTCTATACAATAGTAATTTTTAATAATAATTGTAGGTTTTTATTAAAGCTTATCTCTATAAAATTCAACTTGAAAGTATAAAAATATATATAGTAGGTATTAGATATACTTCTTTTATGTTGAAAAGTTGTATCCATGTCTTTGAATTATTGTTTTTTTCAAATACTTCAAAACTTAATATTTATTACGTAGAAATTATAATTATGATGTAAATACATAATCACATTTAAGTAAATATATAGATATATTTTTGTTAGTTTATTTAGGGTATAGATAATTATAAAAGAGGCTTAAATATTTATAAGATTAATATAAAATTTATAAGATCATATATTTATAATTAATTTTATTTTGAAATATTTAGAATATAATTGCATATTTCAGTGAATTGTTAAATCTTTTTAAAAACAATTAAAATTAACAAAGTATTAAAAGCTACCATATAATTAATTATACAATTTTAATCTAACATTTTTCAAGTATGCTCCAACAACATCAGTAAATATAGAAAAAAGTTGTTCACCTGTATGATCATATGACATTTATTTATGAAAAGTTTCCAATTAATCCAACTTAAGTACAATGTAGGCTTACTAGTCCATATATCTGACAAATAATTTTAACACTTTAGTTTACCTCAAAATGAAATTATTTTAAATAAAGTAATTTAAAAATAGTAGTACTTAAAATAAAATCTCATTATCACTTATTTTATTCAAAGATGTCAAATTTTTCTCATTAATTTTGGTTTTCATCTAAATTACTTTTTGTGTCATAAAATATCTGTGGATATTGATTATAATTTTAATTTTTAATAATAATAAAAACTTTTATAATTAAAAATTAAGTAAGAATATTTAATAAGCTCAAAATATATTGACGATAAAACTATATATTATATATGTAAACCTATAATAGTTAGGAACCTTTAGATTTTTTCCACAGTTTAATTATTCAATATAGTCTAATTAATTCAATGCTTTCATTAGAATAGCTATATGATATTATTGTATTGATAACCTTTATAGTCACTACATGTACAATTAGTAAGATTGAAAGAAAAAAAGGTTGCTAGAGATTATTAACATTGATTTTAGAATAGCCTATTCTGTATAAAATATTATATTCTGAAATCAATATTATTAATTTAAAAATCAAAATCTACCAAATATTGAATACATTTTCAATATATATTAATTATTTATATTACTATGGTGTTTATATAATTCATTGGACATTTTAGAAGAAAACTGTTAGCAAATCATAAATTCTTCTTATTTTATATGTTAGATAATAATATTATTAAGTAAAATGTTCATTCGCCAATTAATTTCGAACTAGGATATAATTTAATATTAAAATAAAGATCTTATTAATAGTTCCTGATTCAAAAATTATTAAAATTGACATTCTGTGTTATTCAATTTATAGTCTATAAAGATTATACAATTATTTATGATTTTTGATTATTATAGAATTATTCTTGTTCGAGACATGATCACAGATTTTATTTTAAAAAATCATGTTGAAGTTATGATTGAATTTGGTTTATTTATGTTAAACCACATATATTTATTTAGAGAATAACTTTTTTCTCTAAAAATGTAATTTATATTCATACAACAACCCAAAACACAAATTTTTATCATTCACAACAAATAGTGTTTTTATTAGATACTTTATAAACTTAATTAAAACTAAAATTAATTATTCTTTAAAATTTTAAATAAATAAACTTGAATAGGTTAAAAATATTCAAACTACAATGAAAGCTTAGGTTTTAACTAAGAATTAAATTTGCTTTGAATTTAAACTAAGTTTATTTCCAATCAAATGTTTAAGTATTTGTTGTGTATTAGATGGACGAAACTAAATTTCCAGGTCTGTCAGAAATTCAGCTTGGTAATGAAGAAATTTTTAATTTTGATCCGTAAGTATAAGCATTGATTATAATATAATCAATGGTATTAGCATGCTTTTAAAATATATCTGCATTTTGCACTTAGTCTTATATATTGTTTGCTTTCCTTTTAGATGATTTTTATATATTTTTAATTTTATAATTAATTGAATAAAGTTTAAACTTTAATTACATATAATATATATATATATTATTGTATTATATTGTACAAAATCTATACCATGATTATAAAAATAAAAATAAATGTATACCAAAACAATATATTACATGTTATATATGGTTTTAATAAGAAACAATTAAATTAGTATAATCATTGCTATTATTATATTATTAAATCAATTGTATTAATTTACGAATAAAATATTTGTTTCTTTTGTTTAACAGCAATAATGAAAATTTAGAAATATTAAATCCACCATTACATAACTTTGATGGAGTCTTTGAAGATCAAAATGAATACTTTTTTACAATGCCTATGGAAAATGGAAAAATTGTTGATTTGAACCTTCCTCAATCAGTAATTATTTTTTAAATGACTAATATTAAGTATTTTGGATATTACATTGATTAAAAATAGTTTTTATAAATGAACTAAAACTACCTAGATCTCAACGTAAAGGATATTTTTATAGTGGATTTTATAACACTTTATTAATAATTAAATCATAATAGTTTTTGAAACATATATAACATTAAATAAAAAAATCATGAAGTATAGGTTTGTATTAAATTTGTTCTTGAAGTCAAAAATAAATGAAAAAAAGAAATATGTTTGATAAAATATATTTTAGTAAAAATAATGTACAAAAATATTTAAGTATATATTAGATTTATCATTGATATACTAATTAATTTTTGAATATTACTCTTTTTTCAATCAATGAAAACTTATTAAAAATTTATCTAATTATTTATTTATTATTATAAAATATGGTGGAAAGTAAATCATTAAATAAAAAATTAAATAATTGAATTCATTTTTAGTATTTTTAATAATCAAAAATATAACTAAAATAGCATGTATAAAATTAGCTAATTGTTTATAATTATGCTATAAATTGAAAAATATTGAAAGTGCATATTTTATATTTGTAGCCTGAAAAAGATCAAGAAAATCTTGAAACATGTACAACTGGTTCTGTTAAATCATCACCAACTGGTATTATGCCATGCCAAGATGAATTTGGTGGTGATATTAATTTTGAAGTAATGCTTGATTCTAATTTTGAAGCTTACCGCCAGAAATGGAAAGTATGTATGATTATTATAATGATAACAATATATTATAATCATTATTCTAATTTTTATTATAATTTCTTTTAGTATTCAGTTACACTGCAAAAACTTTTTATTGATATTGATAAAGTGCTTCTTTTAAATTTTAAATGTGATCATGAAAAAATCCCAAATAATCAACCAGTATATGTACGTGCTATGCCTATGTACAGTGCAGCAGATTGGTTGAAAGAACCTGTTAATCGCTGTTTACAACATTTATCACCAATAGACAAGTTTAACAAAGGTAAACAAAACTTAATCTTCAAAAATATTATGTTTAGCATGCTTTTTTTTCAGTTGAGTCAAAAAATTGTGAAGTCTTGTGTAGTATAAATTAATATATAATATGTAGATATAAAATCTTAAAAAAAAACTTAATTTTTAAATAATTGTAATTAAATTTACCAATAACTGCATTTGATTTATTTTTGTTTCAAAAATACTAATTAAATGTGTAAATTGGAATCAATATTAAGAAAAATCCATCATTATATACCTTTTAGTTTTTGTTGAGTATTTTTCAAAACTTGTGTGTGTATTTATAAAATTTGTCATATTTTATTTTTCATCATACATTGAATGTATCCGGTACCTAATAATTAATTTTTTACAGGTTTTACACACTTAGAACACGTTATACGATGTGAAAACGATGGTACAACTTATCATATTGATGAAGTTAGCAAACGTAAAAGTGTAGTCACACTTTTATGTAAACCTGAGCATGGATCAGATAGTACCAGATTGTCTTATAGATTTGTATGCAAAACTTCTTGTCTAAGTGGAATGCAACGACGTCCCATAGTGGTTATATTCACATTAGAAGATAACACGTAAATAATATTTTATTGACTTTACCAATAATATAAGTTTTAAAATTGTAAAATATATTTTTGTTATTAATAGCGGCCAAGTACTTGGTCGTCGTGTACTGCCAGTGAAAATTTGTTCATGTCCTAAAAGAGACTTAGAACGCGAAGAAAAAGATACTAAGTTGCAAAAGAACTCAGTGTTCCGTCGTACTAAGAAATGTTTTTCACAAGATAATCATCATAGTAATCATCGTCGTCATCATCATCATCATAATAATAATAATTGCGCTCCACCAAATAAAATTATCAAAATAGAATCAACAGAATCTGAATCAGAAAATGTAAACAATAATGCTATTACATATACATTGCCAGTAAGTAAATATTACATTTTTTAAATTTATTAATCTAAAATGTAAAATTGCCTTTTTAGATAAATTATACAACCCATAAGAAGGAGAACTATAAAAAAATAATGGAAAGCATATACTCTGTTATAGTTGGAGTTTCATCTCTTCATAATATTAAAGACACTCAACCTCTACTTCAAGACTTGAAATCTAGGTTAAATAATCTAACATAATTTTTCATTCAGAAATATTGCTGGAATTACAATTCCTGATCTTGTACTGTTGTTGATTTATTATGTTATTGTAATGAGTTTTTAAATTTTTGTAATTCAATTTCATACAATTGAGCCTTTAATTTTTGTTTTTAACTGTTCAGATTATACATTTATTTTAATTTGTATTATATAAAGAGAAAAAGATTTATTTTTGTTCACCTTTTATGTATTTCATTGTATTAACAGTATTTCTGATGTTGTTTTAGATTTATTAAACATAAAATAATAAATAGTTTTTTATTATTTATCCTAGGTAATTAAATTAAATATACTTACATCTATGTGGAACCAAAATAATAGTTACAATATTATTTGATTCAGGAAATTAATATGTATTCCAGCAAATATATATTTGATTCCAAAAAAAATTGGTTAGTATGATCATTCTTCCTTTCAATAGGTAATATATTTTAGATTTTTAAATTACTTATTATTTTCTCAATAAAACTCATATCAAAAAAAAAAAATTTATTATAAGTAACATAATTCTTATACATAGTAATATATATTTATTAAAAATTATTTTTCCTCTTCAAAAGTTATAGTTGGATCGGTAAATTTATACATATGTTCCTTATATGAATCTATTAATTGATCGTCTTCGACTTCTTTTGATGTAGGAAATGGAGGTGTAATTTTATGTTTTCTTAATGGCAATATAGTATCATGTAAATAAACTATAGAATTTGTTTCTCCTGGTGATGCTACTCCTTTTACCCAGATAACATTGTACTTATGATTGATTCTTAGAATTTCAGCTCCTTTATGTATTCTATACCGATTACCCATGTGACCAGGCATTTTTGTTCCTGGAAATACTCTACCTTTCTCACCTCCATGGCCTATGTTACCTCCTCTACGATGGGATTTAGTCACTCCATGAGTAGCAGGTAAACCATGGAAACCATGACGTTTCATTACACCTTGAAAGCCTCGATCAATAGTTTTACCACGAATATCAATAAAATCTCCAGGCCGAAAATGAGAAGCCAAAAGTGGTGTACCTGGTTGTAAAGCAGCTTCTGGTGATATCAAAAATCTACCAAGAATTTTTTTTGGCATCATACCTTCTCTATAAAATAATCCACAGTATTGTTTTGTGTAATATTGAGGATCAGCACTTTCTGCGCCAACTAAGAGACACCCAAGTTCTTTTTTGTGTTTTGGACACGAATATGGTTTTCTTGGTGGATCAAATTCACCCGGAGGAATATATTTGATTACATGGTTATCAATGACTTGAAAAAGTGTAGCAAGCATACTTTTGCCATTGTCAGACCACATCGGGTAGTTGCCAAGTTTTCGAGCTATGAGACCGGTACGTTTAAGTTTTGGGTGCCATTCCACATTTTTGCGCTCAACAGAGTCTTCCTTCAATGGTGATCTTACCTCATATGTAGATATACCATGAATCACAGCTGGCATGCCAAACTTATCATGAACAGCTTCCTTGACAAATGCACGATTGTCTTCGGTCAGTTGCTGATCGTCTTTAGCTCTCTCTCGTTGTAAATGCCATAGTGGATATTTAATTCGAGGTGGTCGAACGTTATGAGCACTTCGAATTTGATTCACCGTAATTCCAGTGTATGTTACACGTAATAATGTAGACAAATCAAGAATAGTACATTTAATAATTTTCGACATTTTGCAATTTTACTTGTTGTAAAGTAATAACCAATGACGAATTAAAGAATACACTAAAAATAACTAAAAAACTCGTGTCTCACATTTTTGTATTATCATTAAAAAAATTTGTTATCACTTATCATTTATATATCTGTGGGAAAAATACAATAAAAATAAATTTATTTATTCTATAATTTTAATATAATATTACTGCATACCGCAGACAACTACTATTGAAACCAAGGATACAATTAAACTAAAAGTTCTTAAGTGAGTGGGTACATTTTAAATATTTGTTTTGGAAAAGTATAATCGGTGGCGCATTTAATACATACGCGCCCCGGGGCAAAATAATTTTTTCCGCCCTTCTCCCTTGCCAAAAATATATAAAAATAAATTCAAAGTTAAGCAATAAAAAATTTAATTTATGAAAAAATTATAAATCAGTTGTTTTGCGATATTGTATTAGATAATTTTATAGTAATACATATCCTAACATTAACCTATTTTTTTTTCAGTGAATATTCCTTTCTTTAATATATATATATATACCTATATATATATATATATTAAATTTAGAAAACGGAATTTATATTTATTATATGCACAATGATTAACAATGCATGAATTTTAATTAGATTAAATATATTATATTTATTATTAATTATATATAATAAAATAATCAATAGCTTATAATTTTTTTCTTGAATTTTGAGAAGAAAAATGTTCAATAATACCATTAAAATTAATAGTTTTCGTTAATCAGCTTCAATGTTGAGGGTTGTTAATTAATTCAGACGATTTTCTCTCGTTGTTGATCTTAAATAAGTTTTGACCCTTTTTAATGTAGAAATTAATTTTTTCGTTGAACAATTACTTCAAGGTGTACATACATAGTAGCATCCTTAGAGCAATATCAATATAAGGATATACTTCAACTAAACTATTCACTATTCTAAATGCTAATATACATTGAACACTTTTAGGTTCAATTTTATTCCCTTTGTAAACTTCTTAAATGTGCCCTAAAGTTAATACCGCGTTCTGTGTACCCGAATCTTTATTATAAACATTGAACGAAAATATAATACACCTATTTTGTTATTTCACTATTACCTAGGCGACTAGGTATAGTATAATTTTTTTAATTTCTTATTAAATGTTCAACAATATTTTTTTAAAATACTAAACAATACCGAAAAAGGTGTGAAAATTAAAAAAATCATGAACACATCAATAATAAATGTTAGAATATTTTGCCGCTCGGGGCATTTGCCCCTTTCTTTCCCCCCAGTGACGGGTTACCCTACAGGCAAAGTAATCAGATGATTGGAGCGGCAAATTTGTTGTACTTAGGAAAAAATATATTTACGAATATTGGCCATTAGGTTATTAACATTTAACTCACTGAAATACTGAATACTGAAATGGTTTCAGTGAACGCGATGAACTCGAATTTTTAGTATTAGCGAAACTATGTTTTTCCCTGAAACGGTTTATTTAAAATTTACAATTATAGATATATATATTATAGCGATAGCCGATACGGCCATACGACGTTCTTTCTGTCAATTGTATTATATTTTCGTGATTCTATTATTTACAATTACAAAGAATGTTATACATATTATTCTTATCATAACATTATTTTACTCATTAGTATTTAGTATACTGACTATACCGTTACACTGTCCGACAGTGCAACTAACGACGTCTTTATTAATTTGTATTACAATTTATTATTCAAATTATTACATCATAATGAGTGATGGTAGATTAAAAGTGGTGCAAAATACAAAAAGCTCCGAGAAGAGCACGAAGAAAAGGAAAAAGGGGTGATTCAAAAAACAAGAAAACTTGATAGTTTTTTCACAAATTTAAAAACAGGTAAAAACAATTTACTTTTTAAAAAAAAAAATTTTTAAATTTTTAATAACACGTTCACTGCGATAGTGCGATTTGGTTAACCTGCCAATAAAATTGTGTCATCCGCACAATATTTTACAATACATTAATAAAGTGTGTTTCAGCCGAAGCTTGAATAAAAATATAATATTAATTAAATTATATTAATTATTTAATATCGCCCTCGCACGTCACTGATTAATTCGTAGTTGCGATTCGACGTTTTTTAATAATATTAGATGTTGTATTACTTCTTTATCTATGTTTGTATAATTATTTGATACATCGCAGTAACTTATATTTTATAAAAATAAAATTTTTTTTTCTATTATTGCTGTGCTCCAATCGGCATTTTTTATTTGTATTATTGTACCTAACTCCGTGATGTTTTGTGTGCAAAATTGTATTATAATTTATTAACATAGGTAATATAGGTAGCATGTAGGTACTAGGTACCTAATATAGGAATGTGTATTTTAATATGATCCACAGTGAACGTGTTAAAAACAAATATGCATAAAAAAAAAATATTTTTTTCAACATAAATTATTATAACACAATTTTTATTTAATTTACAATTATGTAGAATTTTCCATTTATAATTTAAATAATGTAATGTTGATTACTGAATATTGTTATATTTATATAGACTCATCAACATCAACTACTACTCTCACATTAACTACAAGTACTTCAACGGGTTCAACTTGTCATCCCAATTCTGAATTAGATATTACACCTAGCCCTATCATTTTTTCCGTTTCAACACCTTAAGAATTAGAGAAAGAAAGCCACGCAGGTGATGCTGGAGATCTGATTTCCGTAGATATAGCTAAATTTACAGCCCCGAAATGTTCGGTATCTCTTGATAATATAATTGTAAATACCGATCCTGCCAAATGGGTAATAAACGAGACGACAATAGACCAACTACTTTCGAGAGATATCGATCAGAACATACCTGAAGATTTTTCTGTCACAAGGAAGTATTACTCCTCAGTAAGTGGATATCGGTCATTGACAAAACTTGCATTTGAAAGAAAAATGAAAAATAGAAAACTGCACAGAAAATATTTATGCTATTCTTCGAATAAAAAGGCATTTTTTTGCATTCCATGCCATTTATTTGGTAAAGGTAGTTTAAAATTTGGTACAGATGGATATGATGATTGGAATAATGTACACAGCGGTCTAACCTCCCATAAAAATTCCACAGAGCATGTTCAAAGCTATAGCACTTTCTTAAACAGAAGTAAGTTGAAAAATCGAATAGATAAAGGGCTCCAACTACAAATTCAAAATGAAATGAATTATTGGCGAAATATGCTTCAACGAGTTGTAGCGGTAGTAAAAAAAACTTGGTAGTCGAGGACTACCATTTAGAGGGAAGAATGAGAAATTTGGGTCAAATAAGAATGGGAATTTTATGATGTGCTTGGAGCTTATTGCAGAATTCGATCCTTTCATGTCTAATCATATAGATGCTTATGGAAACCCGGGTCGAGGTAAGACATCCTATCTGTCTTCTACAATTTGCGAAAAGTGTATTTCCTTGATTACAAAAAAAGTATTAAGTGTGATTATTGATGAAGTAAATCGTAACAAGTATTTTTCCATTGTTGTTGATTCAACGCCCGATATCAGTCACGTGGATCAACTGTCGTTTGTAATCAGATATGTAAAACGAGAAATTCAAGAAGATACGCCAGCCGAAGTTGAACGATTTTTAAAATTTATACCCAATATTGGACATAAGGTAAAAGACATGCTAAATGCAGTTATAGGTACACTGGAAGAATTTGGTTTGAATTTACAGGATTGCCGTGGTCAATCTTATGATACCGCCGCAAACATGTCTGGATGTTACTCAGGGTTAAAAACAAGGATACAAAACCTAAATCCATTAACAATTTATGTACCATGTGGAGGACATAGTCTAAACCTCGTTGGATTGTCCGCGGTCGATTCTATCAAAGAAGCGGCATTTTTTTTTTTTGATTACTTAGAAGCCATCTATGATTTTTTTGCAAAATCTACTTATCGGTGGCAATTGATGAAACAGAAACTGAAACCAAATCAGAAGGTAGTAAAAAGAGCTACTGGAACTAGGTGGTCAAGTCGTTATAATGCATGTTCTTCTTTTAAAAATAGTTGGGAAGAATTTATGGCAACATTGAATGATATAGAAAATAATAATTCTGAAAAACCCATAAATCGTAGAAAAGCTGCAGGTTTAAAAAACAACTTTAGTACCTTTGAGTCGGTCTTTATGGCTGTATTTTGGACTTCTCTGCTAGAACGATTCAATAAAACAAGCACAATTTTACAATCAACATCAGTTAACTTGGAACATGTTGTTGATCTATACAAATCTTTAGTTGGTTATGTGAGTGAAATAAGAACTGATGAAATGTTCCAAAAATTCATTGATGAAGCAAAAAAAAATTAGAAAAGAAGAATATGAATTAGACAAAAAACGTCGTCTTACGCGATCCCTTTTATGTGATGAACTAGACAAATGTAGTTCTAGAGCAAATGAAGTGGTTTTTGGCGGTAAAGATAAATTAAAAACTGTTTATTTTGCCGTATTGGATCAATTCAGAAAACAACTGGATATGAGACATTCTGGGTATGAAAATATTTACGATAAATTCAAATTTTTGATCAACATAGACAAGTCGATTGATACTGATGATATTGTCCAAGAAGCAAAAAAATTACAACAATTTTATGAAACCGACATTGATGAAAACACATTTACACAAGAATGCATACATTTTAAAACTTATATGCAAAATGCAATAGAAAAAAAAACAACAAAATCAAAGTTTGTTTACATTTTTTAGAAATCAGAATTTAGAAGAACTATTTCCGAATGTTAGCATCGCTTTAAGAATATACTCCTGTATGGCGGTTACCAACTGTTCGGCAGAAAGATCGTTTTCGTGTCTTAAAAAAACTAAAACGTATTTAAGATCTACTATTGGTGAAAATCGGTTAAATAATTTGGCTCTCCTGTGTATTGAATCGGAATTAGTGTCGGCAATTAACTTTCAAGACCTAATTAATACATTCGCTAACCTCAAAAGCCGAACTAAAATAATTTAATGTTTGACTATTATATACAATTTAAAATAATAAAAAATAATTTATCTCAATGTATTTCTATATGTATTTTGTTTTTTTTTTAAAAAAAGGTTGAAAATGAAACAGCGGCAAATGTCCTGCTTGTAGGCGGCAAATTGCTTAATCCGCCACTGCTTCCCCCCCCCTTAAATGTGCCACTGAGTATAGTTAACACAATGTTAAAAGATCATTTAAATACTGTGGTTTACACTATCTAATATTATATTAGAATTAAATTATAAACATTGATAAAAAATAACCCAATAACTAAAGACCGGATTTAATTGATATTACAACTTTTTATTGAGATACCAGGTTAGGTTAAAGCCAGTTTAAAAATATAAGAAATCAAAAAAAGTATTCAATAAAATATTATTCAGTTGCAAAAAAAAAGTATTCAAAAAAGTACTCAATACGTAAGAAAGTATTTGAATACTTTTATAATAAATAAAAACTATATAAATACCTAAATACCGTTCAATTTAATTATTTTAAATTTTGTCTCCCCTAATTCAGAAACCCAATTTCGCCACTGTTAATTTAAATAGCTTTAATCAGATATATATTCTTCGGAGTAAATTGATACTCAACACATTTTCCAGTATATATGGTTTAACAAAAAAAAAAGTTTAAAATCTTGTTGTCTTATACGAGTAGCACACAATATGTTTGCTCCCAATTAAGCATTTTCATCAGGTCAAGTAAATATTTCTGATCATCAAAAATAATGCATCAAATAAAGCAAAAAAAAATAATTATTGAATCATATCAGTCTACTCATATTGTTGGGCATTACAGTTTTAAATAGTTGTAGGTTATTACCAACACACACAACATATGATATCGTTTCACATAAGGAATAATTTTTTTAGGGTACTTCCATAAAACGCAAAATATATTATTTTCTACTAGTCTAACTAACTAGTCTTGGTGCACAGCAGACAGCAGGCGGCAATCGGTATCCATAATATTAATGAAATCATTTATTACCCACCTAAAGTTGAAAAGAAATCAATGGAGGGGAGGTTATAATACCCAAAAACTTTCTCTGGCTACGCCATTGAATAGCAATCTCTTCGACACGAGCACAGATGATAAACAATTATAAATAAAAAATGGAAAATAAAATACATATAGTAAGTATCACTTTATAATATATTGCTATTATCGCAGAGGGATCTGGAGAATACAAATAACATTGATCCATAAATTACGGGATTACGAGTTAGAATAAATAATCCTTTAAATATGCCGCCGTCATCCAGGATCCACTACCTTTAGATATTTTACCGAAAATCTATGTGTGAACCAAAAGCTATATAAGACTATATGATGACCCAGCGCAGTTGGGAATAATTATAGTGCAGTCTGTCTCCGACACCGATACGCAGTCGGTTCATATATTCGCTCTTTTTTTTTTTCAAATCTTGTTCACGTGAGTGCACTACACACAGGCTTGGTCAAATTTATAATTTCGTGCGTGCGCACCAAGAATTAAAAACTCAAGACTAAATCAGAACATCTATACCAGCGGTTCCCAACTTCGGGTCGCGACCCAAATTAGGGTCGCAGAGGTTTTCATGGTGGGTCGCGAAAGCTTTTCTTACGTTTACATATTACATTTTATTATATTATAATTTCAATTTCGGGGAAAAAAATTCCCGAAATATTCTGATGATAAAATTATTGAAGAAGAAAATAATTTTAAATACCTATGTAAATGGATTGGCGCGGGCTGTACGCGGTCGTACCTTCATAGCGTGTAGGTAGGTACACTAATATAAAGATATATTTACACCTAACCGTTCCGTGTCCGTTCCGTATCCGTACCGTCCGTTTAGTTTCAGTACTTTGGATTTACACAATACCGTTCCGTGTCCGATCCGCATCCGTTGTCCGTGCCCGTTCAGTGCTGTTCGAACCTATCTTTTGACCTAACGCGCGTTTTTTATACCGTGTTTCATTGTTGCTTTGGGTGCTTGAAAAAAATTATAATATGACTGGAAGTGCAGAATCGCTAGAAGATCTAGCTGTACTTGCCTTGCTGCTAATTCTATATGAGAACGAACCATTTTTATAATTTTTTCGTCGATATTGGTATACATGATTTAAATGTAGATACTCAAGTTTTTGAAAAAACAACTTTTTAAATACTTTAAACTTTAAAATTTTTTTTTAAATTTTACAAATACGTCTCGCGAGTAGGTATGAAAACCGATCAAGCTGTCAGTTGTCACTGACGGATGTTTACATAGTTCCGTATTTTCCATATCCGTATCAGTGAAATCCCCAAAAACATTGTCTCCGACAAATTTTAAAGCACGGACACGGATAGTGCGGATACGGAACGGACCTGTGTAAACATGTCCATTATATAACAAGTAAACAAACTTTAAGCGCTGGAGACGGAACGGACGGTACGGATACGGAACGGTTAGGTGTAAATAATATATAATAATATGATAATATGTAATATGTAATAGATAATATGTAATAGGCATATAATTTCTATTATTGTTCATAATATATTTCCCGGAACGTCACAGCGCGGTTTGGTAGGTCCTTATCGTAGTTTTGTATAAATATAATATGTACGACATACTACTATTTACGTATAGTGCGTGTTTTTTTTATTTAATTTAAAATTCAAGTGATTTAGCTTTTTGGAATGGCTAAGCGCGCGTTACCATATAAAGATGATTTTTTGAAGTTTGGTTTTATAGAAATAAAAGATCGATCGGGATTAGTGCGTCCTCAATGTGTGTTCTGCCTGCAAGTTTTGTCAAATGAATCAATGAAAGAAAATAAACTTAAGCGGCATCTCAACACTGTTCATCCTACATTGATAAATAAATCATTACAATTTTGGAAGGAACATAAAAATAAAATAAAACGTATGCGTCTTGATGCATCCAATACACTTACAGTTTCATTACAGAAAACAACAAAAGCATCATTTGATGTTGCTTGGAAAATCGCACGCTCAAAAAAGGCACATAATATTGGTGAGGAACTTAGCAAACCGGCAGCTATTTCTATGGTTAGAACGGTCTGCGGAAATGACATTGCTAACAAATTGGAATTAATCCCACTTTCGGATAACACAGTTAAATGAAGAATAGACCTTATGTCTAAAAATATTTTAAAACGGCTAGTACATCAAGTGATTGCAGCTAATAAATTTTTCATACAAATTGATGAATCTGTTGATATTCAAAATAACGCACAATTGATGGTATTCATACGTTATCGAAATACCGACGATTTTCATGAAGAATTTTTATTTTGTGAGCCTCTTCTTACAACAGCAACAGGTTTAGATATTTTTAATAAAGTTGATGGATTTTTTCGGAAAAATAATCTAGCTTGGTGTAATTGCGTTGGAATCTGTTCGGATGGTGCACCGGCAATGCTTGGAAATCGAATAGGATTTTGTAAACGAGTTCAGGAAGTTAACTCAAATGTTGTAATTATTCATTGTTTTTTATATCGAGAAAATTTAGCAACTAGAATAATTCAGCCAGAACTTTTTTTAGTACTTCAAGACGTAATTCAAATTGTCAATTTCATAAAATCAAGAGCACTAAATTCAAGAATATTCCATGCCATGTGTAACAAGATGGGATCACAGTATGTAAATTTACTTTATCACTCTGATGTACGTTGGCTTTCCCGTGGAAAAATTCTTACCCGTGTAATGTCTTTGCGTTTTGAAATACAAATTTTTCTAACGGAAAAAAAACACTCATTGGCTGATAAATTTAATGACGATTCGTGGGTCGCAAAATTGGCTTTTCTAAGTGATATTTTTGGACGGTTAAATGAATTGAATATTGAGATGCAGGGGAAGAATAGGACAATGGTCGATATTGGCAAAAAAATCTCATCGTTCAAACAAAAGCTCGCACTTTGGCGGGAAAAAATGTTTCAAGGAAAAATTGCTACATTTCCCCTTTTAAGTGAATTTCTTGAAGATTCAACAAAGGTAACATTAAATGATTTAAAATTACTGCTTCAAGAGTACTTGGCCAAATTACAGTTAGAACTCGATCGATATATACCAGAAAGCGTAGAGCTCAGTAAATACAGTTGGATAAGAAATCCTTTTGAAATTTCTGTTCACGAAGTTGGTGAAGATATTTGTGGGTTCCAAGAAGAACTTCTTGACCTTCAAGCCAGTCAAGTCTTAAAAGAAAATTTTTCAAGAATGTGTTTGACGCAATTTTGGGCACAACTAAAAGATAAACCGATTTTATCAAGAGAATCTGAAAATGCATTGCTACCATTCCCAACCACATACTTATGTGAAACCGGTTTTTTTACGTTAGTTGTCATCAAAACGAAGTATAGAAACCGGCTTGACGCTCAACACGATATGCGATGTGCACTTTCAATGAATATACATCCAAATATTGAAGAACTCATGGAGTATGTTCAGCATCAAGGAAGTCATTAAGTAAGAGTTAATACAATTAATATTATGTCAAATTTGAAACTATGAATAAATTCCTTTTTATAATATTTTAAGACGTAAGTCACGTATGTTGATCAGTTTTTTATTTGTATTTTATAAATTTATTTTATTTAGTATTTGAGGATAGATAAATGTAACAATATATTTACCGATTTGATGTGAATAAATGAAAGTGATGTTTGCAATTTTATAATGTTCTTTTTTTTGGGGTCGCCAAAAGTTAAATTTAAAATTTTAGAGTCACACTCATAAAAGGTTGGGAACCACTGATCTATACAAATGCTGAATCGAGTTCGTCGGTAACCAAGAATATTACGTATTTTATTCATTCAAATTCATAATCCGTTGGTCAATGAGGTAAGTCCCTAAATATTGGTAATTTTATATGTATCTTGTGCAGTTGACTTAATTATACTCGGTTATGCACAACTTATTTCCACATTTAAGTAAAATGTATTTAAATCCAATAAAATAATAATAAAAATAAAAACTAATCTAGTTACTATATCCTATAAATAGGGAACGGATTTATATGTAACTACATATTTTTATTAAAACGAGATATTTAAGATTCGATAAGAAATGTTCATTTAAATTTTTCAATTTATGATTTAAATCATTCCTATGAATATGATGCTATTTTTATTTTACATATTTTGGTATAATTACATATTTTTACAAATTTCACTAATTTGTAAATATTTTTAAACATATTTTATCATTTCATCATTCATACGTCTTCTTCCTAAAAAAGTACAAAAAATTATTTCAAATTTAGATCCAGTAACTTTTATCACTATTAGAAAAGCTCAAAATATTATGCAAAATGAAACATTAAAAACTAATTTAATTTTCATCTCAGTGAATTTTAGTTTTATTGCACATACATTTACAAAATTAGAAACAAAAATATTTCATTAAATGAAAGTATGTAAATTGTCGAATCAACGATTGTAAAATGAAAACTCGTAAGCGGACCAATAGGAGATGTTGTAAAAAAAAAAAATGCATGCTGTTACAGAAAAAATTTCAGGCTATATTGATTTTAAATCAATCAATGACATAATGAGTGACAGACACCCTTCTAAGACTTTAGAATTATCGTCTTCTGATATTATGCGCTTCAAATATGATTTAATCAACCGATTTAGGTTAATGTGGAACGATCATTTAGCTGTTTTAAAAATATTTTCAGATCTAATAGACGACATTTAATATTTGATAATAGATAAAAGATAAATACAATAAAAGATTGTAATAACTCAATGCAACAAATCATTTTGATAATTTAATAATTATAATTTTTTTTTTTTTAATTTAATTTTTTTCCTACATTTTTGGATGTTTTTAGCACATATTTTATAAATTATACTTACATACATATGTACCACGGATTAATCCACGATATTTATATATTTTTGTATTTTTATTACATAAAAATCCGTTCCCTATCTATAAGTTATACCAAATATAAATATGTTTTTATCATATAAAATGACCAAGCACAGTTAAAATATTATTGAATATTATTTATTTATCTATATATAATTTTATTATTAAAATATCGGGGATGAAAAGCTAGGTAAAATATAAAATTTTGAACGGCCCAATGAAAATGATTTATTTTGTAACTATATTTATATATATGTATACTTTTTTTATAGTGCTGAGACCATATTCACTTTGGTAATACGCCTTGCGGTAACACACAGTGACGGTGTTAGAGTTTGTGAGGCCCTGGGCAAAATAAATGATGGGTCTTATAATTTATATTAATAAAATATTTTAAGTTCAGTTAAATTAGAACCGCGGGTCCTTAATTATAATTTAAGGCGCGGGGCCCTGGGCAACTGCCCCTATTGCCTATCCCCTCACGCCGTCATTGGTAACACATGATTATTTGTGTTAAGGTCATACTGAGAATCAATAGTCATATTATTAATATTTTCGTAAAAAAATCATTATATCAATTTATAGCTTTAATCTTCTTTCTTATCTATAACAATGTAAATAAGCAGATTAGTGACAAAGTTTTGTAATAAAAATTGTTAACATAAGGCAATTATAAGTTCTCGCCTTAATCCATGTCTTTGTTGAAATTATAAACGATAAATTATAAATTTCAATAATTAATATATTTCCTTTAAATTTTATACTAAACTAGCCGACCCGTCACAGCTTCGCCCGTGATTGTTTGTTTATTTTGCCTTCGGACCATGATATGTAGAATTTTTTATTCAAATATTATTGTTTAATGTGATCGGCAAGTAAATATAAAAAAACGGTTAATGAAAACGGATTGAAATTTTTCTAGCGTTATAAATGATAAAAATAAATACAGATAAAAAATAAATAATTTATGGTTGATAAAGAATTTGATTGAAGTTGATGAAGAAAAAAAAAAGAATTAACATAAGAATTTTATAAGACTTCTGAGTATATGATGTTTTTTGTTATATTTCCTGTTGAAATTAAAATCATAATATGATTCGAGTCCCCAGTTCGAGAAAATGTCACGTATAATTGCCCATGTGAAAAGCACTCTGTACGAAGATCTACGACAACGTATTTAAATGTTTGACCTTGCGCTTTGTATATGGTAATGGCAAAAGAAACTTTAACCGGGAATTGAAGCCGTTTGAAAGAAAACGGCAAGTCAGAGGGAATCATGGGAATTCTTGGAATAAATACAATTTCTCCTTTCCCTGACCCTGTAAGAATTACGGCTTCTATAATAATATTTCGCAAAGATTTTATTTGTAATCTTGTACCGTTACATAAGTTCGGTGGTTGAAGATTACGTAAAAATGTAATTGGAGCACCAATTTTTAATTTTAGCTTATGAGGAGGAAATCCCGAAGAAGAAAGAGAATTGAGAAATTCTTGTGGATAATGAATAGCATCATCTGTTGATGTAACTGTATCAATAGATAGATATTCACGTGAGTGTCCATCGAATTTTAGAAGGATGATACCATTAATTTCTCCTGCTGTTACATTTCTCGGAGAGATAATAGCTCTTTCATATAACCACTGATAAGATTTATTGGACAGATTAAAAATATCAGGATAAACTGTAGAAATCAACTCTTCCACGTTATTGACCACCCGTCCAATCGTGTGATTGATAGAAATGTAACCATTTTCATTTTCTAAAGTTCCATATCCAATTTTCAACAACTGTGCTGGAAAAATATCGTCCCCTCCGCATAAATAAACTCTCATGTTTGTTCGCAAATAAAGTTTTTCAACATAGTTCCATATAGGGGAAGATTTTAAGCAAGCATTAACGACATCAGCTCGAGTACCTTTAGGGATTACTGGTAAGGTTTGACGGAAATCACCAGCGAAAATAAATGTTATGCCACCCATAAACTTATTATTACACCTAAGATCTTTTAATGTTCGATCAATTGCTTCGATATGTGATCTGTGACTCATTGTACACTCATTCCACACAACGAATGAGGTTTCTTGAAGAATTTTTCCAAGAAGGCCATTTTTACGAATCGGACAAACGTATTCTGTATCAAATAATACATTTAACGGTAACTTGAAAGTCGAGTGAGCAGTTCTGCCGCCATTAAGGAGAGTTTCTGCTATACCAGATGAAGCTACTGCTAATGGAACTTTACCTGAGGATTAACAACAAATTAATTAGGAATGTTTTTCCTGTACCACCCGGAGGATCTAAAGAAAAAACTTCCTTGATGATTCATTACGCTTTCTGTAATAACATTAAAAGCATATTTTTGATCATTTACTAATTTTGGTAAATCGATTTCTACAAATTCTTGTAATCGGTTATTATCGTAAGAACGCAAAATTGAGAATTCAAAAGGATCAGATGCATTTTCATTTCGAACAGATGAGTTCATTCCAAATTCAGTTAAATATTTTTCAGACAGACAAACAACTTCATCTTCTATTTCAATCAAACCTCTATTAAATATTTCATCAAAAAAAGTAAATTACAAATCATTTAATCGAGTGCGCTCTGTATGAAGAATATCTTGTGATTATGTAATGAGCGTGTTTTGGTACAATGATCTGTGGGGGCTATAGGACTAAAAAAAATGTATTCCTAAAACTCCTTATGTTTAATTTGAATTAAAGGGGAAGAGAATATTTTCTAGAAAAAACAAATTATATTTCACTCCTTTTTAACCTGCATGTTATTTTACAATACATAAAAGATAATACAATAAAAATGAAATTATTTAATTAAACTTGTGTTTTAAACTTTGTGTTTTTCTGAAAAAAATTTGAGTACAATAAATACAAATAGTAAAAGTATATAGTATATCAAAGTATAAATATAGAGATTCTATTGAATCTAATAATCTCTTTATGAAGTATTGAAAAGTTTGTGAACTTATCATTTGTTATAGTATATCTAGTTAAATTCTTTACTCTCTTCATTACAGAAAATGCGTTCATTTAGTTCCGAATCATAAACTCTGAAGGCCTTGGTGCGAAAAAAAATTTACCGTAAAATATTTTGCCTTTATATTTTTATTACAAATCGATTTTCATTATAAATGTATAACCATATTTTAACATACGAGTATATGGGTAATATAATATTTAATGAATTATTTATTTAACATATAGAAGGCTGTGCAAGCAATTAGCTTACATAATAAATATAACACATGTGTAGTGTAATGATGTGCATCATTCGACTATAAAATACTGCACAAATCTTTTATAATAATATATACCATTCGATTTTAAACCATTTAAAAAAATTATAATTAACGGCTCTTTCGATACTCGCATAAACGACATAAATAAAACAAAAAAGGCTTAACTATATAATACTTTATCGACATCATAAGTAGGTCACATATTGAAACGATCAGTCCAAGATCCATCTGACCATACCCCTCTATATAGCAGGAATACACAAATTTCTCCTAGAAATCTTGCCCATAATAGATCGTCAGTGCGTGAGCCAAAGCTGTACCAAGCCATTTTTTATCTTGAGTCAGAACGAAGCAATGCGCTCCCTAGATTGAAGGGTTGTCACAATCACACTCGGAAAATAAAAAATTGTAATTATGTTTCTATCTAAACAATAAATAACATTTTTAGTTACAAGTAAATAATTATTAATTAGCATCTTCTTATATTATGATAAACGAATAAATTCGATGATGTTATAACTATCGGAACATCTCTAGAGCAGTGTTTCCCAACTGGTGTTCCGCGGAACCTAAAGGTTCCGTGAGTTTGCGCGAAAGGTTTCGTGAAAAATTTGGGAAAATATAAATTAATTGGCAATATTTTGATTTGAAAAATGATTTGAACATAGAACTCAACATAGAACTGGAATTGAAACATTTCCCGATGTGAGGTTCGTAGTTTGTAGCTTTTCGGCTTATAAAAAGACTAAGTTTCGAAATCAAGTGAATGCGGCTCCGGACTTACAAATCCAACTTTCAGGAATAACTCCAGATTTAAAAACAGTTATGAAAAAAACATCCGTCACCCCTCAATATACCAAGTCATATTGGTCATTCATATGGTTATAAGTGTAGTAGCAGTTACAACAACTTCACTATTTGTTTTGAAATATTTTCTACGTTATAACGTATTTTTTACGAATATTTTTACACATCTATTATGTTCATAATAAAAAACACCGTACATCATATTATAATATATAGGTATTAGGTACACAATATAACCAACGCGAAGACGCAATGTATTTTATATGTGTTTCTTTACCCTGTATACCTACACGCCAATCAGTAGAAGGGATGAAACTATGTTGGGAGAAAATAAGGCAAGCGGCACTCGCGACAATAGATATATAAACTATTTCGAGGTATGCGATTCTCTCGTGGGCGGGAGTATATTTCATAGACAAGTACAATGGCGTAATTATGGGGGGGGGGATATGGGAATATATCCCCTCCAGACGCTTTTTTTTTAGAACAACTATAATTAAATTCCCGTAAGCACTAAGCTCTAAAAGATTTTAAGATAAGAAATAGAATTCATAGATATTAACGTAGTTGAGATTTTTTTTTTATTTTACTAATATAAAACTATGATAGCTCAACAATTACAATATATGACAAGAAAATTGTATAGCTTACAGTTAAAATATCACACTGATAAATCTAAAATTTATAACTCTTGCTTAGTGTTTAAAGACGTGAAACATTGAAATTTTTTCTAATACAAATTTTATTATTGTTTACAAATTAATTTTTGAGGCATTTGGGGAGGTGTACAAATGTTTATACCAGGATTACAAATGTGTACAAATGAAATAACAATCGTTGGTACCATTTTGGAAGCCATAAGTCAACTGTACAAAAAGTGGGGTGCTGATGTAACGTTACATTAGCACCACCGCGGAAATTTGGTTTTTTTGGGGCATTTGGGGAGGTGTACAAATGTTTATACCAGGATTACAAATGTGTACTAATGAAATAACAATCGTTGGTATATTTTTTTTTTCAAATTTTGAATATGGTGGTGCTAATGTAACGGACCTTGTTTTGTTGTGTCGTTGCATTAATATAAATGCAATGATCAAACGTTAATCAGTATAATTACAGTTTATAATTATGAATAGTAATAACGTGTTTATTGTGTATAAGGCGTAAGTAAACTGAATGTCGTGCGAGGCACACACGTCGCGTATGGTAGGACAATCCCCCACCATATATATATATATATATATAAACATTATTTAATACGTAACAGACACAGAACAGTTGAAGTTGACGAAGTTATTGATTTATTTGCTGGCAGTAAAAAAAGAAATTTAGATTTTGTTATATGATTCATATTTTAAGTATTTAGTAATAATTTATAATAAAGTTTCAGATTATATTATAACTATAAAAAATTGTGCAATTAATTTATGCCCCCCCCCCCCCACAAGTCGAGCATTGGATATTAAGTATTTAATAGAATGGGAAAATGGCATTTATTTGTGGTAGGAATGTGTAGTGGCATAGGTGAGGTGAAAATGTCCGGTGAGAAGAATTTTATACCGTGTAATAAAACATATTCACAATGAAATTATGAAACCGTAGAACATTTTACAACCCATATATCTCATTGTCTACATTGAACTCATAAAAATACAGTATATAAATTGATAAGTAAACGTTTATAATCAGGGTTCGGGAGTTAAAGTATTTGCTTATTTTTATGGATTGACTTAAAATGTAGAAGAGTGCAATAGAAGTGTATGTCAAGTTATAACACGTACAATTATGAAAGTTCAAAGTGCCATTTTTTTTTGCTTTTTTCAACAATTTTTCAACAAAATGCTTATTTTCAGTTTTCTAATTACTTTTGCTTATTTGATCAATTTTTTACGTTTTTATAGTTTTCTCTTGCAAAGTAGTTTTTGATAGAATTAAAATTAAAAATAATTTTTTATCTATGTTGTCACGTAGTTCGTCACCGTCCGAGGCACCGTTGTAGGGTTAACAAAAATATTCTAATGCTGAAAATAGAACTGAGTGTCAAACGTCAGAATAATCAAGAACAGAAAGAAAAGTTTACATTTTATTTTTCAGAAAAATCCCTTAGAAAATATAATTTATTCATAAAATTCTTAATGTCTTGAAAGAGAAGATTTATTTTTATTTTATTTGATTTTTTAGTTAGAATTTTAGTTTTTTTTTTTCGAATAAACATTTTTGCTTAATTTTAAATTTTTTAGATGCTTATTTTAGTACTTATAATGATGTTTTTAAGCGCTTCTGTTAATGATTTTAAGTGCTCTAAGTCCCGAGCCCTGCTTATAAAATTGACTTTTATCGATTGATCATCAACAGCAATCGGATACACTCTTTAGGTAATTATATGCACTGTGGTATGCGAAACATTGTCCACGTTAATTAATGTTCATTGCAGTCGTCGAGATCGAGGCGTAAACATTGTCAATCAAATCGAGGCATAGTGCACTGATAAATTCTTCCCAAAGACAAACATAAATGATCACCCGTCGCTCAATATTAGTTTTGTTATTATCGATTTTTATGGCCAACAATCGTATTCGATGTCCAGCAATTGGTGCGCAATCGCGACGAAACCGTCGAACCGTTTCATTCTAACCGTAAGGATTGAATCACAGAATATAATCTATTCTGTGATTGAATCGCAGAGATAACGATTGAATTTCGAACACCGTTCACGGGTCATTGCGAACCGGTCCGAATATTCGGGCAAGCGTTCACCGATTCTGAACATTCCGACATCATATAATAATTTTGTGCTGTAATCAGGAATAAATTGCAGTCTGCAGTAGTACCGATGCACGGGGATACCCCGCCAACATCTATACATATATATTTATGTATATTTTATACAGGTCAATTGTAATTCGCTCTATGCTGTGATGATCGGTAGTCGGTGCGTTACGTAAATTTAATTCTTTCGACTGCACATCCTATTCACATACTGATGTGTATAGGATAATGCTCATAGCGGTGTAATTGCATTGAGTGCATCGTACTTTCACCGGCGTCCGCCGCCCGTTCACACACACAACATACATATTTCTCAGAGTTTACCGCCTACACCGCTGATACTTCTGTGTGAGCCATCCGCTGTTCTACAGTCGCAACGGTAATATAATAATTAATAATGCCAATATCATTATGTACATTTTTGGTAGAGTTATACGTGTTGATTATTTCCTGACCTTTGTATTATAACCATAGTCGTGGTGATGTTGGTCATTTTTATTTCGAGCTCCGACGAAATCCAATTAAAAATACTTGCGTTCAATTAAGCTTTTTATTGTATCCGCGAAATTGCGTGAGAGAGATTGCTACTTACGTGCAATGTATATTTAAAACATATTTGCGCGGTGCGCGTCATCTGCATTTTGTATGTTGGTAAGTTTCCAGAGGAAAATATATTCCTGCATACCTAGTGACTTTAAAACCTGTCGTTTATTTGCGGCACTTATTCTTCTTTATTATTTATCCATAATTTTATTTCTTATCATTCGCCATCGTTTACCAAATATTTTGTCCATATCCGAGATAACACTCGTTCTTAAAAGTATGTTATAGCTTTAGATGTCTTACAGCTATGAACCCCCAATTGTTTATCATTTTAATCTACTGCTCACTTGACTGTCTTTTACTTTTTGGTGTATTTACAAAGAATTTTAAAATGCTATTAATTTAAATTCAGTTCATCAATTACATTTAATGGCATAGATATTGAAATAAAACAATGATTTCATAATTCGTCATTGTATTGTTTGTTATTATTGAGTACACTTAATATATTTGTGATGGTAGTCATTTTTTACTATATTTTCATAATTATCATATGCATCTACTAAAATATGTGATATTTTTTTCAGAATTAATTAACAAAATGAGTGAAAGTTTAGCTGTTGTACTATCCAACTTGAAAGCTTGTGTGATATCTACAAAAGATGGAATACCATTAAATAAACTAGATGGTAAGTTGATTTATATGTATACAATTATATTTTATATTAAAAACACATATGTGTATGATATAATTATTTTATTTGGTTGGTTAGCTTTTGAGATACCATTCTTTACCATATCTTACTCATTTGTGTATAAGGAATTTTTCTATCACTTAAAATAATTATGTAGCTATAGTTTCAAGATAATAAAAATAAATGGGTTTTCGGTATATTGATCGCAATAAAATTTGTCTCCAAGTTAATTGAACGTCAAATAAAATTGATTACAATTTTTTTCAATATCCATATTTTTAAATTTAATAACAGATTAAAATCCAAGATGTATTTATTAATTTTGAACACACTTTGGAAATTTATTATTAATATATAATAAATGTAATAAATTTCCTAAGTATTAGATGATTATAATAAAAGAAGTAAGGTGAATGTTATAAAAGGAATAGTTCAAACATTTTTCTTTTTTCATTAATCAATACTTTATCAGTTTTAAAATTGTTTTTGTCAATTAACCTGATGACTAATTTTATAAGTGATCAATTCATCAAAATCTAAATAAATTATAATATTATTATTATATATCAGTATATTACAATGAAAAAAAAAAGTATTTAATACCTATGTGTTAAACTTATTATTGCTAGTAATATTAAATATTTCTTTCTTTTATTTTTTTTAATGGTAAAATACATTTTACTTTTTATTATAATCAATAAATTAAATAATGTTAATAAAAATATATTCTTTGTAAAAATTAAAGAAGTATTTAAAAAAAAAAGTGTAAGAAATTATTTAAAACTTAAAGATTATGGTATTAAAAAGAATTTTTTTTTTTAAACAACATTTTTTTTTCTTTAGACATTATATTTAGTGAATAATTACATTTTTTATGTAATTTTACAACTTTTAAATATAGTGCAAATTAATTTAATGAATATCAATAGCCTAACATTCCTCTATAGCAGTGGTAACCAACTACGGACCATGAGCTAAATCTGGCTCGCAATCATTTATTAATTGGTCTGCCAAAGTAACAAATGAAATTGAAAAATTTGATATTTAAATATTTTTTTAATATTATGTTACTTTAAAAATAAAGATTATGGTGTACTTCCAAAATAGTGATGCTTTAATATTATCAACAAACTTATATGTTAACTATTAATTTATTTGAAAATCCTTTTAACATGGATCCAGAAAATATTGAAATTTCTTTACAGTTATAAATCATTTCAACATTATTCAATTTCTAAAAATCCTGTTGAGTTTTATTTAAATCTATTCTTAAAGGATTTCCAAATGTTATGCAGTTTGGAGTCAAGATATCATGTAAATTCGATTCAACTTATATTTGTCAGTTAATACTTACTATGAAAATCAATAAATACAAAACTTGGTCTCGCATTACAAATTAATATTTCTATATATAAATTCGACCAAATCAGAACCTATTGCTATTGTTCTCTGTGAAAAAACTAGGACAACATTCGCATTAAAAAAAATACATATATTAATACAACATATTTTTTTCACATTTATAACAATTAATATATAATAAATAATTACATTTATCACTGTATCTATATAAAGATGTACCTACAGTAAAAATATTATATTTTATTAACTTAAAAGAAAAAGTTCAGTTCTTGACCCGCCTAAAAATTTTTTTTTTTTGGCCCTTGATTAAAAAAGATTGGTCACTACTGCTCTATGATTTTAGTATTTAAGAATAAGTTTTTAATTTATAAATCTATAAATAATCATTTGATTCTTTAAAAAAATATAATTTAAAGGGTATTTTAATTAATTAATTTACATTTTTTTTTATTATAGATGACTACACTACATTGAATGGTGCAAGAGTACCATTTAAAGAATTAGGATTTTCTTCCATAGAAGAATTATTAAATTCTACTGGGAATTTCACAATTCAAAATCGTAGAGGTGTTAAAATCGTACAAATTTTATCTAATAAAAAAACTCAACATTTAACTGAACTGATAAGTAAACAAAAATCAAAACCTCCAAAGAAAAACCCAGTGAGTGATACTTCTATAATTTTTTTTTTATTTATTTATGATATCAAACAAAATGTAATTACTAAATAGCAACCAAGCTATAACTTTAATGTTAAGCTAAACCCAAATAATTTAACTATTTGAAATGTACTAATATTAAACCAAAACAATTTATTTTATTTGCTTTTTACCTCCTTAATAAATGTGTAATACTAACAATTTTAAAAAATTTATTTTTTCCATTTTATTCAACACAGTCAAATTTAATGGAATATCTTTGACCTAAAATGTTCTCTTAAGTTAACATTTTTTGTTTGATTATGTTTAGTTTTTTACAATTTGAGTTTGACTAATTTAACTTATACAAATGTTTTTAATTCTTAATCTATAAAAAGTTAGAATCATTTTTAGTTATAATTAGTTTTATAATAATGAATATACCTAAAGTTCATGTACCTAATATTTATAAAAGTTTTTAAAAATTCAAAATTATTTTAAGAACATTTATGCTTTGATTGTATTATTATTAAATAAGAATAACCAAAATAATTTAATTATTTATTTCATTCATAATAATAGTAACTTAAAAATGTCAATATTTTTCTAGTTAAAATAAATAATTACTTTATTCTTTAAATTGTATTAGGAATATTTTGTACCTTAATTATTTTTATATTTTAAGATATTAATCATTTTTTTATAACATATATTTTACTTCATTTTATTTATTTTTTTTAGTCAAATTTTGCAGAAATAATAAATATATTGATTTTATATTTTTGTATACTGTAGTTTGGAAAATTGTTTCAAAAATATGTCAACAACATATTATCAATTTTTGTTTATAACTACCTACATTATATATTTATCTTCATTTTTTTTTCTTGATAAAAATTGATATTTTACCAATTTTTTTAACTTAGTAAATAATAATTAGAAATTTTGAAAATATGATTTCAAATATTTGAATTTATAGTATTTATATAAATAATTATATTAATTTTTAATGAAAAGTATTCTTAATAAATATTTAAAAAATGATATTCTGAGCTTATATTATTGTTTTTACATATATATGATAATTTATTGAGGGATAGTTTATAACAAGCTGTAAATTTAAATCATTTTATGACATAGGTGCAAATAGTGTTTGACATTTAAGGGCCTGTAACTAATAGATATACAATATTTTATGTAGTTAATGTTTGAGAGACTTTAAAAAATCCTAATAATGCTTATGCATATATTACAATTGACTATTAAGCTACATGCAGTATTTGCATCACTACATCCTTCATACTAGGTTTCTCCATTGATATCGATATTGCAAACTTTTTTAAGTATATTTTGATATTGATATTCTAAATATATCGTATGATATTTTGATAATCGATAAATAATTGTCAATTTTGTATATTATAATAAATATTATCAGATTGACAATTCATGGATTTTATTTATTTTGATCAGGTCAACAAGATGGAAAAATAATTAATTTGACTATTAAAAAAAAATTAAGTAATTTGTTTAAAATTTTAAGGACTCGTTAACAGTAATATAAAAGTTATTACTTATTTTTAGGTTAAAATAGTTCATACTTGGTTTGGTTTACCTTCTACTCAAGTTATAATTAATAAGAACTAAATCTACAAATTTTATTTATTTTTCTAAAAGTAATTTTAATTTATATTTTATATTTTTTCTAATTTTTTGACAATCTATGTTTTTGGTTACTATTTACATCTAATAGAAATAATTGAGTATTTTGAAAAATGAATTTATTAGTGTTTTAAATAAATATTTTAAACAAAAAATAATTTTCTATTTACAATGTTTGAATGCTGCTAAAAATTCAAATTAAAAATTTTGTCCTAAGAAAAAAGTTACTATATTCATTTGTTTCTAAAATTTGAATAAAATGAAAACTAATTATAAACTTAACATTATTATCAATTTAATAATAATTGCAATCATAAGTAATAAAATAATAAGTTTTTTATTTGAAATTTGTGTTCCTTTTTATTATTTTTAAATATTTTAAGTATTCAATAGCTTACGAAGTATATTTATATTTTATATCTAAAATAAAAATTACTGTTAAAACTTCTGGAAACAATTTTGATAATGTATGTAAAAATATACTTTTCAACATTTATATGTATTTCAGTATATGGGTAATAAATTTGCTCCACGAAAATATAATAATTCAAATAGCCATAACAAATCAATTAATTATTCTAAAGCAGGAGTTAATACTTTGAGTAACTACAGTACAGTAAGTATACAATTTAATAACTAATTGTAAAATTTTAATTATGGTTTTTATTTTATTTAGACTAGAAATAACTATCAAGGTATTCCTAGTTATAACAGCTATAGAATATCTACTATGTATAACAATAACAGATTTGATCAATATAATGTATGTATTAATAGTAATTGTTTCTTTTTGATTAGGGTCTATAGCATTTGCAATATTTTATTGCATATATAAGCATTTACTTCTTTCTTGAAAAAAAATAATAAGTTTCAACTACTAGTTTTTGTTTTATGTCAAAACTGTGTTTGTAATATTTGTATATTTTTTTAGAAACCTGTAACTTGATATTTCATATTTTGGGTTAAGGACTAAATGATGAATTATAGTTTAAAAAAAAAAAGGAAGGTTGCACACATAGGTTGTGAAGTTCAAATTAGTGATGAGAATAATCAAATGATTCGTTATTTTCAAATTATTATTTTTTCAATAATTTTAAATAATCAAATTATTTTATCAATCCAAATTCCAATTATTAAATAATAGTTACAGAAATACTTTCTTTTTGATCCGACAGTATTGGTGTGCAATACATGAACATTACTGATTTTCTGTCTGTAGAAATAGTTATCAAATCAAATTAATTGAATTACTCAAATAAATTGCGTGATAAAAATGTATCAAAAAGTATAAAATTATACAATCGAATTTTTTTTTCAATTACTAATCATTTAATTTTAAAAAGGTTAATTACCTTTAATTTTTACCTTATGTCAATAACATGCAAAATGTTTTTTAATTTAAAAGTAAGTTTGTAATGTAATATTATTATTATTATTTTGTTAAATTATTTCAGCATTTGAAACTGTTATGTCTCTTATACATTTTTACTTTTAAGTTAATTGCAGGAGACCATTGTGTCAAATGTTTATATACTTATTTACCTATACTTGTATTAATTGATCTGAGGAGTGGTTTCACCAAATTTTTCAACTGCGCTGTTTGACTGTATCTCATTGTTAATTTCATACTTGTTAAGCAAACTAACTATGTTAACATTTTTTATGATTCTAATTAGTATCAACCAATAGTTGTTTGTAAATATAAATGTAAACTTAATATATTATTTTTTTTTAGAATCGGTCAAGATCATACGATCAAAATAGTTACAATAAAGTAAGATAAATTGGTTTTTATTTTAATTATTTCTCATATTTGCTTGTTACATAATTTCTATTAATATATTCATATATTTTTTTATCTTTAAAATCACTATAGTAATAATTCTAATTCTGGTGCATACTCCTATATATAATTATATGTATATATTTGTGTTAGTAATATATAGATTAAACAAAAATGGTTTACACAGATTAGTACTTCGTTAAATTAAATGTTAAATTAACATATATTTTTATACTTTAAAACAATAAAAATAATTAAAAACTAACCTGAGAAAATGTGGGTAAATCTGCTAGTATATATGTATATATATTTATAAATACATTTTATATCATGAATTATTATAACATATATTAAAACTTAGAAAGTATTACAAATTTCTTTTTTAATTATATTATGTTTGAATATTTTAAAAATAATAATAGCATTTAGATTTTTTAATAAACACAAAATAAGTATTCAAAAAATAATATTTAAGTTTGCGAGAAGTTTTTTAGGGTTATCGCCAAAAAAATTACAATTTATTTCATTATTGCACCTAAAAATTGCAATAAATTTTTTTTATTTACCAAAATAACTAGTTAACAAAAAAATTGTACAAGTATTTTTTTAAAAAATTTTATTGATACTGAAATAGTGGTTTTAGCCTAAACCTAAACTAACCTGGTCTTCCAGGAACCTACAAAAAAAATTATTAACATTTAAAAATGTCCTTTATTTATAAAAATCTATTATACAACTAACTTTGCAATAATTATTCATCAAAAATATTTAAAATTAAATGTAAAAAACTTGTAAAGACTGTAAAAAAAAAATAAAAAAAAAAAATAATTTAATTTATGATACAAATGATAAGAGTGAACATTGTGTTAATACAGTGTTATTATACACAGTTAGCTTAAGAACAATAATGTTCCTGTTCTGCAAACATAGCAATTTTATTATTATTATAATAGCATATGATTATATTTTATGTTTATTATGAAATGTATTTAAATGCATTTATTAAACTTTTAAACTTTTTTTTTTTTAATAGACATTACAAAATGATTTGTATACTAATGGAAAAAATTATGTACAATCAGTTCCAACAACAAATGTAAGTAAACATTTCTATTAAAATAAATAAATAAATTTAAATTTGTGAATATATAATGTAATATAATTGTTATATAAGATAATTTCATATGTATTTATAAATTATTTACCAAGGGTATACATCCATTGAACATAAATGGAAAATCTGATCCTAAGCTAGATCAAAAACTTCCACTAACTAGCAGTTGTAGTAGCTTAGAATCTACCTATAGTTCTAGTTCAACTGGTTATACATCGAAATCTACTACGCTGAATTCAGTATGTTTTTATTTTATTTATACAATATTAGTAATGGTAACCCCCCTCCCCCCAAATGCTAGGTCAAATTAATCAAAATATCAGGTTTAAATGAAATATTTATTTACTTATTACTTCTTTGATTAATATTGAAAAACATTTATTTATTAATAAACTAATAAAAAATTGAAGTGAACGTAAGAATACTTATTCATTTTGACATGTATTATCACCAGGGTTTGGAAGTTGTAGGACTAAAAATGTTACTTTTTAGCTCTTAAATATGCACATAAAAACTCTAAGATATGTGGTATAAATAGCACAAACAAATAAAAAAATATGTATTTAACTTGAAAAAATTATAAATTTATTAGAAAAAAAATTAAATGTTATTTTACCAAGTTTTGGGCTTATAGATGTCTGGACTGGTTGAATATTAAGCAGTTAACAAAAATGTTAAGTAAATTAAATATATTTATAAAAGTGTACTTATAATTAAATTATTTTATATAAAATTTGAAAGTACTCTGGATTATTAAAATGTTTGATAATCTAATGTAATGATACAATAAGGAAATAACAATGACACCTCTAACTATTAATACATCAAATTGTCGATAAAAACATTAAATAATACTTGATGAAATCTATTTATTTCCAATAATTCAAATATTTTTAAAAATATAACTAAGTAAATACCATTATTATCCACAAAATGTGATTATTTCCTGTATTATGTAAAAATGTACCCATAAATAGTACTATAAAACCTAAATTAGCAAAATAGCAATAAAACCCGTAAATATGGAAAAAATAGCAAAATTAAATTTTATGTCTGATATCCGAGTAGTTTGAAACATATTTGTATTTTACTTTGGTTGTTCTTGGATGAACCAAAAAAAATATGCATTTGCTAGAACTTCCGAGCCCTGATTATCACTATGGAATTTGGAGGTACATAACATTTCAGCCACTTTAAAATTGCATCTCCTCATGTTTAAGTCTTTTCATGTAACTTAAAAAACATCATACATCTTAATTAGTACGAGATATACAATAATTTGGAATTTTCGTTTTTTTTTTTCAATTATTTTTGTTCTTTCAAATTTAAAAGTTACATCATATAAGAGTTAACTTAAATATTTACTCTTGTTTCTTAACTTCTAAAGTATTATTTAAATGTTAAATTAATATATAATAACCAGAGATTGTATTACATTGATTAATGTTTTCATTTGGAACTTTACTTATATATATTTTACAAATTATTCTCACCAGCAAACAATTTATGTTTTTATTGAAAATAAACTAGTAAATATTTTATTTTTATTGAAGATAATCCAGTTACATCACAATTAACTATTACAAATGTATTAATTACAATTGATAGTTTCTTAAATATTAGTATTAATACTATATAACATTAAGTATCTTTTAATACTACCATGTTAATGATTATAGAAAGTAAAAGATTTATGTCATATTGATTGCACAATATTTGTTTATTTTAGCCGGACAAATTCCAAAAATTAAATGTAATGAACATTCCTGTTCCTCAAACAGTCCACATTAACGACAAAAAAAAAGTTTCAAAATATACAAATATGGCAGTAATTTAAAAACCTTGATTATTATTGTTTATAGTTTTAGTAATTTTATAATTTTTTTTTTTACAGGAAAAAGATAGTGAATTTAAACCATTAACGCAGCAACATTTACCTATTGCAAAGATTCCAACAAAACAAAATATGGTAACTTTTATGTATTTAAATCATACATTTACATTTTTAAATATGATTTATTTATGTTTATTTAAATATCATAAATATATTTAACATATAAAACTTGTGATGTCATTTTAATTCTAATTATATTATTATATAAAAATTCAGTATATAGTTATATTGTAGTAGTAGTTTTGCAATGTATAAGCTCATTCATTTTATAATACAATTTTACTAAACAATAATATAATTAATCTAAAGTAGGCAGGACCGGCTCAAGGTATAGGCGAACTAGACACCTGCGTAGAGTGTCACTTTAGTAGGGGCAGCATTTTCAAAATTGACTCGAACATTTTTTTAGTTCTATTGGTATTTTATAAGAAAAATATTTAAATTAATTTAATTAATTTCATTCGTGAAAACCACTTACCTATATAATAAAATAATATTGTTATTATATAAAGTTACTATATTACTTTATATTACGGCCTACACTGGATGAAAGTCACAGTAGTGATGTGTTAAAACTTAAAAGTAATAGTAATAGAAATCATTTTTATGTCTTTTAACATATAATTTTATCCATAAAATAAAAAATTAAAAATTTTTTAAGTAGATATGTCACAAATATATGATATGTCATAAAAAATAGGGGAGGGGCTAAGTTAAAATAAGAGTTCAATTTTTTTTTAGATGCAGCAAAATTTGATTTTGTCTAGTGTACTATTTTTGCTTGGGCCAGCCCTGAAAGTAGGTCACTAGAGCAGGAAATAAAAATTTTAGAAATAAATTCTAAATATACTGAAGTGATCAGGAAACCAATGTTTTAAACATACTATATTTAGGGTCACCAGACGTTCCTTTTAAAATGGAATCGTCTCTTTTTTGATCATCACGTCCCATTGTCCCGACAAACTTCGAATAAGACGCTTTTTATCGCGTTTTTAGAAGATTGCCCTGTTTTAATCCTGTTATATCTATATTATTTATTATATAAGTTATTAATTATTGTAAATAAAATATCTAAGTATGAAAAAATATAAAACAGTTTTACTCGTATATTTAAAATGTGAAACGAAAGTTAGAAATAACAGATAAAAGTTTTTGTGAAACGAGCATCAAGTTCCGATGCCGACGAACTATAAAATTACTGATTTAATAATTTAATAATAATTAAAAGAAAATATTTTAAGTTATTTTACTAAAAAAGAGTAAAGTAAAAAAGAAAATAATTGTTTATGATATGACAGAGATTTGGACTTAACTTTCAACATTTGTGTGCATATGTGTAAATTTATATGTATGAGGTTTTTATTTGGGGGGGGGAGAAGTAACAGCTATTCCGTTTAATTATTTTCTTAATAAGGTCACCCTAACTATATTTATACTGTTAAAATTAACATATGATTTTTTTTATGTATTCTATATGAATATTGTATGGAAACATTTAAAGTACTCTACATCTGCAAAAATTATTTATGTCTAACAAATATATAGCATAAAAATTCTGCATTCAGTAGAACCATGTTTTTGTTATTAGCTTTAATATTAAACTGACCTATTATCTAACTTGAGGGAAGTACATTATCTGTGTTTGTATGTTGGTTTTTTAAAATATTATGGGTTTTAAGTAAAATGACTTAATGAGTTTATGAGTATCTAAAGTATTACTATTTAAAACTCATAACTAACTTAAAAATAAAAATATCGTAAAAAAACCAACATTTAAATATAGATTACACTAGAATCTCAATTGAGGATAATGTTGGGGAGAAGTCATGGATAAATGAAAACTAATGGTAAATCAAGACTTTAATTAACAAATCTTAATTAATTTTTTTTATAATTTGATTTTATTTAACCTATGTTCTATAAATACATATTATCATGTTTTAAAATTTTCTAAACTTGACATTTGAAGTAATCGATCATTGTTTTATTCGGTTTAAAATGATTTTTCTCACTTTTAATTTTTCTTGAATTTATGACATTATGAAAGTCAACATTTTCCTTCTGGAAGTTCAGGAAGATATTAATTACTACCATAAATCTATTTATAATATAGTCCACACATTGTTTATAAAATTAATATTATTTATCATCTTTAACCTGTGTATAATATACTGCTTACAAGCATGCCATGCCTATGACTATTTTTAGTGCATACTAATGTTTGGTAAAATGAACATGGATAATCAAGGTTTTACTATATATATTTCCCTTCACGTTTGATAATAACTAATAAAGTTAATAGTTAAGCTTGCAACACAACATAGGTTCTATTGGAATGCGCAGATTTGCTATATTGCACATTTGTAAAATAGACAACACATATAGAATGCAGGTGTGGTTCATCTTATCATTATTAAAATCAAAGTAGTTACTATTTACATTAATATATAAACTAAACTTATATATTAAATATAACATTAAAAATGACTTGAATATTTTGATACTGTAATACTAATTTTTAGGGTATGTTATTGACTGCTATGTCTTTGAAATACTATCATCTTAAATTATATCAAGGTGTAATTAATTCTAGTCTTGTTTTCATAATTTCTTGTGCATTTCAAGTGGTATTAAATAGACAACAATATCCTTTTTAATTATTGTTAGTATTTTTTTAAGTATATTGCAGTAGTAGTATAAGTAATTAATTTTTATTATTTTTTGTACTAATTAAAAATTTGATTAAAAATTACAGCCAGTACAACTTTCTACTGCTCAAAGTAGACTAAACAAGTATCCTAAAAAATGTGATGAATCAGTGTATAAGGTAAGTTATTTTTTAGTATAAATTTAGATACTTGATTCAAAAAAGTTATTTATTTGAATTTGGTTCTTTTCTAAAAGTAGTTTAAATTAATTTATGAGTAAATAAATTTTAAATATTAAAACTTATTCTATTAAAAATTAAAAACATTTGTAAATTGTGTATATTTTACAAAAATAATCTCTTATCCTCAATGTTAACGAGAAAAAAAATTCATTTTTTTTTAAATTTCTTCAATGGGTATGAAGTGTAAAATTTCCTGAACAACAGAATTTTTTGTTGTACATAGATCACAAAGATGATTATACTATTTTCAATTAATTAATTATCTACATAATTTAAGATTGTATTACTAAATGATCTGTTATTTTTTAACCTTATTTAAATAAATGATAGTTAATTTATAATATATTCTTACTATTTATTTTCAAATTATTCAATAGTGTTATTAAAGTACATGTATGCTTTCTTATTTTATGCGCGTTTAATCTTAATTTTTTTGTCAAAAAGGTTAATTTTTTAATAGTTATCAAACCATATCTAATTGGTAATTTTTGATTTGTGTTCTAATGGTTTTATTTCATTTAATATTCTGGGTATATCAATTTAATTTTATAAATCAAAATCAAGATCATTTTTCTAAAATTAATACCAATTATGTTAAAAACTTTTAATTTTATAAGTATAATATATTAGTTAAATTATTATTAAACTTTTAGTAGTACTTTAATAACGGAATAATTATTTACAAATAATAATATAGTAATAAATAAATTTATCCAAATATTGCTAAATTTTAAAGACAATAACAAGATGATAATTAAAATAGAAATTTTGATGAAAAGTTAAACATGGGTATTAGGTAGAATAGTGATTGAATGAATGAATGTGAAGGGATTTTAGAGAATTAAACAAAATCTAACACTAAGTGTGCAGAGAAAAATCAAAAAGGACGTAAGGGATGTGCAAATACTTTTAGTATAATGCAGATAGCTTATTCTAAGTATGAAATCGGTTAATTACATATTCTTAATTTAATAAATTGAATAATTTAATTGTCTCCCAGTTGGGAATCACTGGTCTAGTGAATGGATAAGAGATTAATTATGTTATCCCAAAAAATTGGTGTAAATTCAGAATTAAGGTATTGGATGTAGATATTGTAGGTTATCAACAATTTAAATTTAAAATTGTTAATAGAGTTATAATATAAATTATAAATTGTTAATAGAGTTATAATATAGTAATGTATTATTGCTGTTAAATTAAAGGCTTACAGTGTTACAGTTAATAAACTATTTACATATAACTTACATCATTTTTAGTTAAAATACTCAAAAAGTATAGTTTTATAAATCATAGTTTATTCTATGCAACTTAATACATAAATTATTACATTATAGTTTTTAATTATCAAATAATGATAATTTAAATAATATTTTCAAATTATGTATTATATATCAGTTGTTTTCGTGTCAACAAATATTAGGGATTTAAATTATGAATCTGAATAATAATAATAATGTTAACTGTTATTATTAAATTAATCAAATTAAAGTCTAAAGGTCTTTAAGTATAGATATTATATACTGATCCACCTGACATTCGCTCAGAATTATTTTTCTAAACAATTCATTGATTTTACAAATTTTATAATAATCCAATTTATTTTTAAAAGTTACACATTCCTTGTACTCACACGATCTTGTGTATTTTGCTTTTAAAACTGTCTCATATACTGAGTTTACACGATGCTTAGTACTAATCATTAGTACTTGTCACTCACACGTGAACAGGTTTGAATAGAGCTTGGTTATTTTATTATTATTATTATTGATGAATGTATGCTGGGAGTTTCTTGTACCAAGTATTCGAAAAAATTGTAACGTATAAACTTGTACCATTATCATAAATATCGTGCCAGAAACCTTTCAAGGGAATTGCTTGGTAAGGAAATCGTATCTTTGATAAAATTGAGATTTCGGGCTTCTCGAGTGCAATAATCGGTTTGAACGGATTCGCACGAGTCTCCAACGTTCGATAAAAAACGTTCGAGAGATGAAAAACCGTTTACATTAGTCGATATTTTTAGTAGAAATTATCGTACAGAATAATAAAAAGGCCAAGTTTATTTATTATTATTTTGATATTTTATTAATATGGCTTTAGAAAATCGCCTAGCATTCTGTAGTGATCGTTGTGCAGGACACTACAATCGGTACCACATTAATTATTTAACGACGTAGCACGTTCGATGTTATCTTTATACGTAATGTTGAGAAAGATAGGTAATTGAATAATTAACACTTGTATGTTAAACTTATAAAACTTACTGTTTTTATTAATGTATCACAATAAAATAACAAACAGTTTAAAACAAAAAAAATAAAGAACAAGTTATTCTGATCAAGAATTATATACTCGCGGCGATGTGGCTGTAACAAAGTCCACGACGAGTTAAAATTTATTAATAAGGGAAATGACCAGTATAACACCAGTATAACACTATTTATCAAAACTACCTATCTACTTCTGAATAATGTTAAATGCTCAACCCGTATTTATACAAGTTCCAATGACGAAAAAGTAGCGTAATTCTAATTTTACTGTCGATTTAGTATTATTATGTTAAAAGATGAAAAACTACTTGTTGTTTTCACCTTTGCCCTGAATGTATTTCGCGTAACATCTTTTTTAATACTTATACTATTTTATATCACATTATTTATATACCATTTATATAAGCATCATATAATATTCATATAATCATTTATATAATATATTTATTAATAGATACTTGTACTAATTTGTATCACATTATTATATTATGCTGAGTATTGGGTTTACTACAATTCTCGAAAACAACGTGCGTGTTATTATCATAGGGTAAACTATCATGATACGATTCTCGAACAGAAAATCTCGTATTCGTTAATCAAATGTATGCAAGTTTATCAAATGCTTGGTACGAGAAATTCTCCACTTCTAAAAATCGGCCTTTAATAAAACTGCGAGTGATTAGAATGCCGTTCTATTTACTGACAAGTTGCTACTCGTAACGTGTAACCACTATTGATGGGCACTATCGAACTATTCGATAGTTTTTCAAAATATTCGATTGTTCTACAAACATATTTTTTTAAATCATCTTTAAGAAATGAATATTTGTTTAAATAAGAAAAAAATGTTATTATTAAATCAACTTAAAAATACTAATGAGCCCGTATTACTAACTTCATGATAGTTACGAGTTTGTACAATGACTTAGACTTTAAAAGTCATTTTAGACTTAACAAGAATTCAGTCGAAGTAAACATTTTTAATATTAAAATAATTCATTTTTGTTATTATTTTCTTTATTATTTAAATATATTTATATTTGTTTATTATTAATCTTTCTTTAACTTTCCTTATTAACTTCCATATTTTCACTTTCCATTATAAACACAGAATATAATAATGTTATAATAATATAAATAAATAAATAAATAAATAATAATAATGCTATAACACAGTCAACTGTAGAGTGCTTCAGTGCTCGTTACTTAATAGCATAAAAAAGTGAAATACTGAAATGTCTTGCAAATCACATAAATGATATATAATTAGAATTTGGCGCTTAGTTTTTATCAAATCCATTTGGATTTTTGTTTGTCCAACCGGATAATTACGGATTCCTGATAAAAAAATCCGCTTAGTTATCTCCCTTCAACCGGATTGAAGAAACGCTGAAATTAAAAACATTAAATTCTAGCGGCTGACCAATCTGCTGAGTTTCGGAACATACGGAATATATCACGAAAAGTGAGCGCTGACATCAGTGATCCCCTTTGCCGTTTTTAACAAGTGACCATCAAACCCGTTTGCCGCGATATTTTTAATTGTTGATAACACTATAACATAAATATTACAATAATATTAAGCACCCCTAGTACGACTACAAAACGGAGAACCCCTGAATTCCACAATATTTTTACACCACCTATCGATCTTGAACCAGTGGCGTAACAAAAAAATTTGAGCCCCCCCGCAAAAATAAAAAATGGGCCCCTAAAATATTGTTTAGGTAGGTATGTTAGTTTAAAACAATAATCTGGTATGGGTAAATCACTTAAATTAAAATTTTGTTATGATATGATAAAAAATAACAATATTTACACAATTATAACTTAATGTATAAATAACTAAATTTTACTGAATTATTTTGTTTTAGTTTAGTTTAGTTTTATTTTGTTTTGTTTCACACCAATAAACCTACGCCATATGAAAGAAAAAAAAAACTGAATTATTTTCCTTAGATTTCTGCGATCTTCTAGCATTTTTTTGAGCAAACTTATCAACTAAAATGTCTAAACTACGTATTCCTCGTTTTCAATACTCAATACACTTAAATTTGATAATCGTTTTGATGCCATAGTACTTCTTAAATAACTCTTGATTAGTTTTAATTTAGAGAACAAACGTTCTGCTGTAGTTGATGTTACTGTTATAATAAGAAATAATTTTAAAACGATGGCTACTTCCGGAACACTTGGTAATATGTAATTATTTTGAACAATCTATGATTCAGCATAGCACATTGTATAATTAGTTCCGAATGATAACAATTTGTAAAAGTGCCAGATAATTATATTATTATCTATGAAAAATTCGCTGTATGGGTGTTAAGATTTTAATATTATATTTTTCACTGCGTTCTAAATTTACTTCCTATTTTGAAAAAATTGGTAATTTTATATTTTATGATAATTTATATTTTTATCTTGTGCATTAATAATACATGTTTTATAAATTAAATTAATTTTTATTTTTAGCTTTAGACTAGATAGTTGGTTTATTTTATAATGTCGATTCAGATAAGAATATTTAATGACTTTCTGGTTTCAATATTGGACACTATAAAATCGATATAGTCTAATACCTATCTAAATATTTTACTGTATTAATAAATTATGAGTTTTAAAACACATTTACATATATTATTGTATGCAGGGCGGATTTCCCATTAAGCGCTGTAGGCAGCTGCCTAGGGTAGTAAAATTTGGGGGCGGCAAATTCTGTAGGATTTTATTAAAAAATATCAAATATATAAAAAAAACTTGTAAAATTACTTTATATTTACAAAAAATAATTGTATAATAACGTGTGCATTTCGTTAATATTTTTATGTTATTGTTATATCTATTTTGGTTCATTATAATTTATAGTCATTAATAATGACTCATTATAAATAAAACTGTACAGGAAACAGTTTTTGATAAAACTATATTTAACACGTTGGTATAAACTGCCCAGGGCTCGCGTTGCCATGTTAAAAATACGTATGGTCTACTATGGGTCATATTCATATTATATCAATATCATGGTTATTAATATTATTTTTATCGGATATCGTCGCCATAGGAATTTCGGGGAAAAATAAATACCCACATTGCCACACTAAATCGACTGTATATAAATAATCCTATGCTTTTATGAAAATTTGTTTTTATTAACATTTAATGAACATCCATTGACATTTTTTCGATGTAGACAAATTAACAAAACGAAAAAATTGTCTAAAAATTCAAATGGATGTAGGTACTTATGTCTATATATTTAATATTTAAATAAGTTGTTTTGGAAGGGGTAATATAACTTCTTCACCGATTATAGGGGTGACAAATTTTTGGTGCCTATAGCCGTAAAAAAAAATAAATCCGCCTTTGATTGCCAAAAATTGTAAATTAAATCGCCGTACAATCTAGGCCTTAGATATAGCACATTTATATGATGATACGAATGATCACGTGTTTACCAAGTATGGCATCACTGAATTATATCTATATCAATGTTTGTGTTTGAATGCTGGAATCGATTTTGGCCATCGTGTTGATCCGCTATCTACTTTTCTGGGCTTTTATGATTAACCGCCAAACATCGTTTTTCGGTATCATTCCTCGTTTATAATGAATTTTAACCTGTTATTTTTTTGCTTTTTATGACATTTAAGTATAATACTTATTTTATTATTTTTATTCATTTTGAACTTATTCTATCATTATTTTATTTTGGACTCACTCTATTGAACTTAAAATCATGGAATCAAAATTATTTAATACGTGTGTAGATATTATAAAATCAATAAAACAATCATGTAACATGCTGGAAACTCTTCTGGTTACTCATAGTGAACTATTAGTACGGCCTAAAAAAATATTATACTTTATATTATTATTAAATTGATTGTATTTTGTTCTTCAATATTAATCTTGTTATATTTAATAGAATGATGGCAAAGAAAAAAAATCACAAACCGAAGAATTATCTGTTCTCACTCAAGACTTAAAAATAGAAGTTGAAGAACCTTATCTCGAGGTTTGTTGAATTACTTTATATTTTTGTACTTTTTTTATTTTGGTTTTGGTATAAGCTGTTCAATCTCAATAATCATATAAAGAAAAATAAATTAATATTATCAAATTCACTAAAATTGATTTTTAAATTTAAAGTTATTTTATTATTTATATTTTTGTAAAATTAAATTGAATCCAATTTTAACTAAGTATTAATATCTTATGTACTAGTGACAGATTGGAAATAAAATTCTACTTCGGTAGTCTGCCTGATTATTTTATTGTAGGATCTGAAAAAACTTTTTAAGTATAACAAATATTATAAACCTATATAAATAAATATAGCTTTAATTCATAGTTAAGTCACATTTAATTTGTAATACTTTTAAATAAAATATGAAATTGGTCCTAATTTGCACCAGCAAGTGAAAATGGATACTTCGGTTAATCTGATTAACAGGTGCTTGCTAATAGGATATCCCTAAATATCCATAATGATTTTCTAAAATTGTCCATTACACTTTCTAATTTTGTTAAGTTTAGAATTTAATGTTATATAAAACCGCACTTGAAATAAACTAGCTTCAATTAAAAGTTAAGAAATTGTGAACTTTAGAATGAAGCTAGTTGACATAGTTGATTATTTTATTATTTATACTTTATGGCAAAATAATTAAAAAAATATTTATTACTAGGTGATTGACAATCAAGACTACATAAATGAATTAGAAGTATATTTAAAAAATCTTAATTTATCAGAACCATGTTATGAATTCATGATAAAAAAAGAAAAATCTGGCAGAATAATTAAACATATTCATATTTGTACAATTAAGGTTTGTCATTAATAATTATTTCCTATTAAATTAATTTTAATATTTATTTAAAATATTTGAAATTAATTTGATAATATATAGTTTTTTCTTCACATCTAATAATTTTAATAATTATTTTTTCAGGTAAATGATAAGAGTATAAGTAGTTCTTTCCCTATTGAATGCAGTAGTGTTGATAATGCAAAGATAGTAGCAGCTAAACATGCTTTGTTAGTTTTGAAAAAACAATATGGTGAAAGTGTTATTTATCCTATAACCAATGATATTAATACAATGGCTTCTCGCATCAAAGAGGTATTTAAATAAAATTATGATCAATTTGAAATTAATCTTTCAATTTATGCATATATATATATATATTTATATTTTAGTTATTGAAAGTGGGATATGAAGAAAGTGGTATTATGGGTGATGTTTTAGAGCGTTTATATAGAGAAAAATTTCAAGAAAACTTGCCTGATAATTGGATTCAACTTTTAGAAGTTTATAGTTATTTCACATTCGATAAGCTAGTTGCTAATAAAATCATTATATATCTTGTAATTGGTTTTTATAATTTTTAATAATATTGTTAAATCATTTTAATACGTATATATTATTGAGAGCTACCATTTTATTAATTTATGTTCAGAATGAAATTGAAAACCAACAACATAATGGTGTAAATGGACATCTTGATAAACCTGTGATTGAAGAAAAAATTGTTCCTGGTACCTCCTTACGTTTTGAGAACTATGATGAAAAATGTGTACTTGTTTCTGCTAATTATGGTACAACTGATATTTGGATACGTTTTGTTGGACAGAGTGCAGATGTAAGCCTTTTTTTTAATTTCTTAAGTTATATCAAAGTCTATAATACATGTATTTTTAGGAAAATTTTATTAAAATGCAAGCTGAATTCAATGATATCATGAATACTTCTGGTTTTAGTATTGCAGAAGATATAATTTTAGGTGATTACTATGCTGTTTTATACAATTCATCTTGGCATAGAGTCCAAGTATCATACTGTAACGAAGAAGATGCTTCTTGTTTCCTAGTAGACACAGGCGAACAATTATGGGTATCAAGAGATCAAATATGCTTTCTAGAACCAATTTTTATGCAAACTAAAACACAAGTAAAACTTTTTACTTAAATATTCATTATCCAATTACAAATATATTATATTTATTCATTTTCAGTTAATTTGTTTAATAACTGACATTTAAATGTTTAGGCTATTGAGTGTGTTCTTACCCAATTGGACAACTTTGGCACTTTTGAAGGTTTAAAATTAATATTGGATGAAATTATATTAAATAAAACATTCTTTCTTATACCCGATTCCTTAGAAGATGTACCTAGGGTTACTTTGTATGAGAAAGGAGAAGGATCATCTGATAGAGTGAATGTTAACAACTTGATTATACAAAAGTTTTTGGCCAAATCCGTTGCTAGACTTCCTTCATTTGAGGTAAACTGTTATAGTTAGTAATTTTGTTCTTTATTTCTAAATTGTATTGCTAATTTTAGGAAAATGCTGTTGTGGATGCAATTGTATCATCAGTTGTTGAATCTGGCCATTTATATTTGCAATTAAATTTTGATATTGTCTCATCACTTGAAGAAATCTTACCAAATGATGAATCATTACTTCCAGAATTTTTTTTGAAAAGCAAAGAAGACTTACAAATTGGTCAAATTTACTTAATTAAGTATGATGATACTTTGTGGAGTCGTGTTGAAATTCTTGAAATAATCAATGATTCTGAGGTTTGAACTTAAATTTAAATAAAAAAAACTTTATATTAATTTTGAACTAGCTTAGAATTGGCTTGCACATTTTAAATTATTATATTAATATCCAACAAACAGTACAATTAATAAAAACTTTTAAAATCTATCCATTTTATTATTGCATTAAACTGATGTGATTTCCTATTTGACCAAAAATCTATAAAACCATTGGCTTGATTTAAATGAAAGTTGTAACAAGAAATTTTTCAGGATCCACTATAACTGAAATTTGAAGAAGAAAAAAATCAGAATCACTTATCAAAAAAATGATGTTATGATTTTGTATCTGTTGTCTAGGGCAACGGTTATCTGTTTCAGTTTCTTTAGTTACCGATCTTGGTGGTTAGGTTTTTAGTTGATATTTTAATTAAATATTTTTTTATAAGCTGTGATTCATTTTAAGTAATGCAATCTAAGTTTAGAACACTATATAGTTAACTGTACATAGTTAACTATATTGCAAATTAAATTAATAAATACTTTTTTAAATTAAATTAATAGTAAATTCATTCTAGCCAATATTTAAAATTAATTCAACAGTGTTCGTTTTGTTTTAGGTTAAGATAATTTATATAGATTACGGTAATATCGGAACGTGTGAAATAACTAAACTTGCCAATTTGGAATTATTTGATCCTTTAATGACCAAGATTGCACCTCAAGTATTTTAACTTTTGAAATCAATAATTATTATTTATTTTTTAATCTTGATTTTTGTATTTTAGGCAATTAAAGCATCTATGCATTTATTACCTCCTAGTATGATGACACGAGATATTGCAAAAACAATTTATGATATTATTGGGGAAGATAAAGTTTTGGTTAACTTGATAAATGCTTCTTCTGATGGTGTGCCTTGTGTTCAATTATACAAAACCCAACCTGATACACCTGAAATACCCTTGTGCATTAATGTACAATTAGCTCAAAGGTAAAAGTATATTTTAATTTATTATATTATATCATGCTAATATTAATTATTTTATTTTGTTATCATTTTTTTTCAGTTTAAAAAAGCATTAAAGTCTTACCAATTTCCCAATTAATGGACCACATTTAACTAATTTTTATTAAAAAAGCTAACATATTAGTTTGATCTGATTTTACATGGTTTTGTACAAAATTGTTATTATCAAATTGTCTTAAAATTATTATTATTTTTATTTTATTTTAAAATTGTTAATGCAATTTATTCTCTAAAATCATACTTATAAACATATTGGAGACTGTTGAAGAATTTGAAACATTATTTTGATAAATTGTAATTTTTTTTTTTTTGTACACTATTTGTATTGCTTGTGCCATTTGGCATTACATTTTGTTACTCCTGTAGTTGTATTTAAATGATTTGTATTAAGTAAAAAAAAAAAACTTAATTATTAAAACAATTTATAATTTATTGTTCCTTTTTTTTTTTCAACATTAAGGTCAATTCACACATGTCCAGTCCGTACTGTCTGGTCAGTCTCCAAAGTTTTTACATTGTATGGGTTAAATTAATGTTATCATTTACACTTGTTCGTTCCTTATCCATCACGTCCGATTCCATTTGTTCATAACTGTTTTGTCGGACGACACTGATACGGAGACATATCTTCGGTACACGTAAGTACAAGTCAATAATGGTTCAATCAGGTCCGATCAAAAATATATAACTTTAGCAACTTTAGTTCATTATTTATAAACAGATGTAACAAATGACAACGGTTATTCATACCAGTAGTCATCAAAAGCAAGCACTTTTTGTACGTAATTGCTGTTCCTCCAATGTGATTAGTCATGGTTAGGTTAGGTATACTCTATCAGAACAAACTTTACATGATAAAACCACAATTAAAAATATTTTATTGCTACTTGAAAACTATCTTTCACTGAAGGTCAAGTTGATTAGGATTGGGAAACCACGACCTAATAGTTCTCGTCCATTGAAACTAGTTTGTACTAACAAAGAGGAAGCAAAATCTTGCTATACCAGTACAATGAACTTAAACGAAACGGTATTCAATTTTTAAAAGGTTTCAATCTTGTCAGGGATAAAACCTAACTTGAACGACAACAATTACGCACATGTTACAATGAAATGAAGTCACGTTCAGCACGAAGTGAATTGAATCTGCGCATAATCTATGAAAATGGACTACCAAAGATTGGGACTATCCTGTCAGAAAACGGGCCTCATCATAGTCAACATCCTATCCAATAACTGGATTCTATCAAAACTGCCGTAGACTTAGGACCAAATTTTCAACTTTCAAATATAATGTATCTTGTTTAAATTATTCCTTTATTATTCTTACTGAAACTTGGCTGACCAAAAATTTTTTTACTTATGAATTTGGCTTACATAATTATAATGTTTATAGATATGATTGCTGTAATTTAACTAGTTTATGTACCAGAGGGGGGGGTGTACTTATTGACGTGAGAAAAGACTTATGTTCTACTTCTATAAGTATTTCTAACTTGAGTGTTGAACAAGTCTTTGGACGTTGCATTATCGATTCCAAATGTTTTTGTAATTGGAGGTGTATATACAGTAACGTAGATACAATTCTTTTCTGGGGGGGAGGGGGGTGTTTAAGAGTAAGTTTTTAAGTGTTCGTAGTATATCTTAAAACGAGATCATATATAATAATATTACATTTAAAATAGTGTTATTATGTCCCGTATTAATGAAAATTATTTTGTTATTCAATTTTTAATATATACCTAATCATAGTAAAATCAAAATATTTTACTATAATATATAAATATTAATAAATAATAATCAAATATCATTAAAAAAAAAAATCTGTGGGGGGGGGTGGAAACCCCTTACACCCTCCCCGTAACTACGCCACTGTGTATATATACGTCCCAATTCTCTTCCTAATATTTATAACATCCATTTCCAGGACATTGAATTTTTGGTTCAAAAATTCCCTTTTTACAAATGAATCATTTGTGGTGATTATAATTCACCTGAAATTTTATGGGATAATGATGATTGTGGTCTTATTTATTCATATTCATTTAGTACACGTGCGGCTTGTATCTCTGGAACGTTTGCATCTAATAGTTTTTTCCAAAACAATAAAAATTTAAATAGTCATGGATCAATTGACCTTGTTTTTTGTAATATTTGTCTCTCAGTTGAAAAATCATTCGATCCTATAGTCTCTTGTGACTCATATTATCCACCATTGAACATAACTCTTCCTTATTCGGATCCTACACCACCTTTTGATAAACGTCAATGTAGCCTTTTTTTAATGCTAAGTTTAATTGGGATACTACTTTATCAACCCTCGATCTTAAGTCAGCATTCAATACATAATTTGATGCTCTGCATTTAAGTATTATAAAGTATGTACCCAAAAGCCACTTTTGGAGCACTACATACACACCATGATTTACTACTAAGTTAAAAGGTATCGATCTACTAAAGAAAAAAGCACATATTGAGTAATAACCAACTAATAACAATAATAATAACTAAAATAATAATTGTTAATAACAACTAATAACCAAACCTATTATAATTTTTCATTACTTCATGCTCGTTTCAAATTTATGTCCAAAAAATGTTGCAATGAATATTACAAACGTGTCGAATCTTCATTGACAAAAAATCCTTGTGACTTTTGGAAATATGTTTAAAAAAATTGTGCTTGTAATGATATGTCTAAAGAAATATCTCGCAATGGTACTGTCTCGTCTAATAAAAAGTAGCAGATATGTTTGCTGATATATTTTCTTCGGTGTACTCAATGAATAATATAATCATTACTAATGATTTCCCTAATATTTCAGAATTTGACTTGCCTCATAATGTTTATTTCTCTTTGGATGATGTTTTCAATGGTTTGTCAGCTCTTAAAGGAAATTGATTAGTAGATTCTGATGGAATTTGTGGTGAATTTTTATATCAAATGTCAATCATAGCATTTCCACTTTACTCCCTGTTTCGGCGTTCACTGGATGAAGGCACTTTTCCATCAATACTTAAGCTGAGTTCAATTACACCCATTCCTAAACCAGGTAATTTATCTAGTGCCTCGAATTATAGACCTATCTCCATACAGTCCATATCTCAAAATTATTAGAATCTCTTATTTTAAAATGTATTCAACCTATGGTTAATGGAATTTTGATGGAAGTGTAATCTTGTATTCACTTCATTAGTTTATGATACCTTAAAAAACCATAGTCAGGTTGATGTAATATATACTGACTTCAAAAATGCCTTTAATTCAGTGAATCATAAATTACTAATCTATGTGCTCAGAGCTTCGGGATTTGGTGAACTCCTTTTATCTTGGGTTTCTTCGTATTTCTCTGAAAGATATTGTACACAATATTTACTACATGTAGTAAAAGTATTTGGTGTAAATTCTTAGGTATTTAAGTATTTTTCTGGTGTTCCGCAAGGTGGTCATCTGTCCCCAATTCTCTTTTCGCTATTTGTAAATAGTGCTATCAGACTTTTGAATTATTGTAAATTACTTTGCTTTGCTGATGACATGAAACTATTTATGGAAATATTTATATGGAAATCAATTCTCTTAATAATTGCCTTAAACTTCAAACAGATTTTAACAATTTTTACAAATGGTCTCAGGAGCTAGGCTTAACTCTTAATCTCAATAAATGTCATATTATGTCATTCACTAGGAAACATTCTATAATTATTTCGTCCTATGAACTAAATTTCGCGTGGTCAAGAGAAAAGGCATTCCATAGTTCTAATTCCTGGTCGGAAACCGAAAACATTATTAGGGACTAAATTGTTTGTCTCCAAGAACCAATCAAGACGGATTTTGATTAAGTATTCGACTATTTTACATAGAGCTGACGATAAAGCAATTGGCCTGTAAGTTGTAGCAGAGGTGTTAGGTTTAAGGATAGGAATGAAGTGATACTGTTTCCAGGAATCAGGTATGATACCGGAAACCTAAATATCATTGAGAATATTTAGAAGGCAGTGACTGCTTTGTTGGACATGTTTTGGAGAACGATGACAAAAATTCCATCAAGGCTAGAGGCTAATGATGAGCTGGAATTGATGGCTGAGGTAAGCTCTTTAAAACTGAAAAGTGATGTGAGCATTTTTTTGCGCAGGGATCAGGGTCGTTTGTAATAGGTAGGAGTTGTGGACAGACTTCCTGTTGCGAAGGAACATAATATGTTATTATATTATTCATATTATGAAGGAGAAACTTTGCTACAAAAAGAAGGAAACCATTCCTCATTAAGCGAAGGGGTGGTTTGTTGACACAGCCTTTGAATTTTTTGGCAGAGATCCATAGGACGTTAATATTTGTAGAGTAATTAAGAGTGGAGCAAAATTTGTCCCACGAATTTTTTTTCGCAGTTTTTAATATGCGTTTTGTTTTGGCGTTAGCGTTTTGGTATGACAAAAAATCACAATCCGGGAGATTCTGAATTTTTTTAAAGGCGGCTGATCGACATTTGATAGTATCAGAACAATTTGGGTTCCACCATATTGGAGAGGTGGAAGTGAATCTGGGGGAATCTTTTGGTTGGTATGGCATAGCTGGAGGCGGTTATCAAGAAGGAAACGAAATTGTTATAATTGTCTATGGGAGAAACGGAGAAAGCACAAAAGTCGATAAGAGAGTTTAAGTGAGAGGAAAAAAGAATCCAGTCAGCTTTGGAATATATTAGTTTAGGACAGTGATGGCGAACCTATGTCACGCGTGTCACTCCGTGACACGCTAATTTAAATATAATTCATAAATTATACTTCACTTTCCAAAAAAATTATTGATAATTTGAAACTATTTTTAACTTATTATTGGAATATATCGTAAGATATTGTAATCTGTACTTCCATTTCCGAAGATCGTAAACGAAACGATTTGATTATCAATAAATTCGTTTATCACGTTTACGTAACAAAAGTAGGTACAACAAAGCAGTCGACAGTCGTCAACAGATTTAAGATGTAAAGTTTAGATATTTTATATACCTAATAATAACAAATTAAATCATGTTTACATGTTTAATTAATTATTTTTTAAGCAAAAAAAAAAAGGTCTGCAAAATTTCTGACACGCGAGGCAAATAAAATCAAACAAACATTTTGATTTGACACGTAGTTATCAAAAAGTTCGCCATCCCTGGTTTAGGAGGTGAGGTAACCTGATGAACTGTTGGTGGAATATTCAGTGAATAGTCTATTCAGAATAAGGAACGTAGTCGGCGGCGACCAGTTTTCGACGGCGGTGGTCATATATTTCTCCCACTGTTCCGTCTACTCAACCGACAGCGGCCGTCGACATACGACCGTTGTCGACGCATGACGTAAACACATTAACAATATTAATTATTTTATTACATAAACAATGTACTTTAAGTTATTTGTTCGCGTCACTGGTCAACAGTAAAATAATGCGGCGCTCTCGCTGGTAACGGTGTCGAAGGCAGGCGTGCGTAGTGAGGCCATGCCCATGCGCAGTAGTCGGCCGCCGACTACGTTTCTTATTCTGAATAGACTATAGAAGAGACGTGTTTGATAATTAATGGAAGTGATCACTGCCGTGAGGATCATCAAGGGGATACAAAGAAAGGGACCAGTAAAGAGCAATGGCAGCAACCGATATGTCCACTGCAGTGTTAGGGAAAGGGGGCCGGTTGACGCGTGTAGGAACTCCGGAGTTGAGACAACTCAGATTAAATTTACTTATAGAAGAATGAATAAAATTACTACAGTGATTTTGATTATTACTGTTGTCCCAGGTAGGATGGTGACCGTTAATGCCCCCCTCTAAAATGTAATTAGGATCAGTAATCTGAAATATACGATCGAATAGTGCAGTTGTGGGATTGGAAGGAGGGATATATAATGACTATAATTTGAGGGGATGAACTAATGAAGGCCTCGATGCCAACTAAGTCAATAGATTGAAGCAGTTGATTGTTTTTAAATAGGACGTCAATGGGAATCTCTTTGATGTGGATAGATTGATGAACAGCGATCGCGATACCACCATAGCCATCGACTTGATCCAAACGAATAAGATAATATAATTCAAATGTACATTTATAATATTTATTATTATGTACTATTCTATAATTTAGTTTTTTTATATATACCTACATAATATGTATTGAAATATTACTAATTATTTAATACTTAATACTTACTTGTATTCTAAAGACTATTTTCCCCAGATATTTCAATAATAAAATGTTCAAGATAAAACATATTTAGGTTTTTCTGTACTTCACCACCAACAATAAAACGGAAATGATAAAGAACACCCGATATGACGGAAAACCGCTTGGTATGAATAGTTCAATTGAAAACAATGTGTTTAATTTTAGCGGTTAATGGTTCATTAACGTTCGCATAAAATTAAACATGCGTGATCGAACGCGGTTTTTTTTAGTGTAAATACATCGATTAAATTGTGGCTGTAAAAATTCAAGTGAAAAACTGCGTCCTTGCGCGGATAAACCACCTAGTGTGTAATGCACTTTACCCTTTCGTCATATTTGTTACTAAATAACTATTGTTCCTATTATTAATATTACGATAATCATTATTATTATTAAGTTTTTTATTTAATTTGTTCATTAATTCATTTAAGTTGTTATCGTTAATATATAATTACTAATATTGAAAGTATTGTTATTTTATTTAATTTAATTATGTTAATTCACAAAACCATTTTTAACATTCCCACACTTCAACTCCGTAGAGGTGGTTCAGACTAGGTGCCAAAGGCATGTTATATATTTTTTTTCTTTGAGCACTTAGACGTATTGCTGTTCATCATTGGTCTCCCACTAAATCTGGAGGTCTAAATTTGAGACCTCGTCCGTTCCTTTGGTTTACCACTATGATATCAGCTCTTCAGTTTTGAGTTGCTCCTTCTGTGAGTCCTATACAGTGCACTGTTCTTCGCTCTAAATAGATTGGCTAAAGTATTTTGTGTATTTTGTGATGGACATCATTGCGAAAAAGTTTTGAGGGAGGATCCTCAGATATGGGACAAGGTTTCACTCCTGTTTTTCTCATTACAGACTAGATGCCTGCAATGGGAATTGCCGACACTTGTACCTTCTGTACCACGGTTAAGACATAAAAGAGTATAATTAAAGACATTTAATTAGAGTTAATCGATGCTTTGATAGCATTTGTTCACTTAAGAGACCGCTTTTTTTTTTTTTGATATACGAGCGTTAGTCACGGTACAACTGCTGTACCATAGTATGCCTATTCCCCTCCGTCACAATTCTTTTAATTTATTGAAATCGTTGTGAACCGCGCGTGGATTTGGGCCGGTTAACGGGACCAAAACGTGCCGGAGACTGATCGCGAACTGTTAGCAATTGTGGGTCCTGGACGTGCGATAGCTTTCGGGCGATGGCGATGTGCTGATTAAAAGCCTTCCATGTCTCTTAGCATACCGATGCCCCGATATTTCCTACCCGTGTAGTAGACTAGAATTGTAGTGTCGGCGAGAAGGCCGCATATCTTTCTAACTCCTTGCTTTACCAGCATATCCACGCGTTCAAGGTAATTCCATTAGCGGAAATCGGGGGGGGGGGCCTTGAGGGGGATTAGCCCCCCTCCAAAAAAAAAAAGCCCACCAAGCCCTCCCAAACATTCTTGCAAACATAACAATTTTGTAGTTTTTTTTTCATATATTATATTCTTAAAAAACAAGAAATATAACACATAATAATATTTTGTACTATATATTTGTTTGTATAATATTTTACATAATATTTTATAAGAAAATTAAAATTATAAGTTGGAACATTCCAAACACTGTCCTATAGTGATTTGTTTTATCGTCCATCGAATAAAATAAAATACATATATAAAATTATATATATAATATACCTATGTATTATATATATTATATATTGGAAAACCCTTACTGCCGATTGTCGATACAATAACTGTGTTGATTGCTGCATGGCAGCAGTGAAAAATAATACACGATAATGTTTTATTTATAGTTTACATTAATTGTACGTTTTAAGTTGTAACTATTTATCACTCATTATTTTATTTAGTTCATATCCTGCTGTACGTTGTACTTGTATGTTATATATATTCTATTTATTATTTTACTATTGAGTCTTATGTGTAAAGTTTTTAAGACAGTTATTCCGCATAGTACATTATTATAATATATTAATATATCATAGTATAAATATATTTAGTATTTTTAAAATAAAGAAAATGTTACAAGTAACACTTTACTAGTCAGCTCTGCAACATGTGAGCGACCTTTTTCGACTATGCAAAGAATAAAGACGTGGGTATGAACTTCTATGCATCAAGAACACTTTACAAATCTTTTTATTCTTCATATAGAGAAGGATGTAAAAAAAATATTGATACTGAATGTATTTTGAACGAATTTTCTAAATCCTCAAGAATGATAGTTTTAAAATAAAGCATTTACTGTAATAAGATATATTTAACGGTTCAACAAGACGGTTATTTTATAGTTTTTTTTTTTCTAATACAATACCTATACCTATATTATTAAATTTGAAATATAAAAAAAATTGTAATTGGACAGTAATTTTATGTTTCCATTCAGTTGTTCAATAAAAATTTTTCCTATGTTAAATTCAAAATTTGTTTAGGATCATTTATGAGGGGGTGTGGGGGCCCCCATGGCTTTGGTTTATGAAAAAAATCGTTGCCCCCCCTAACTTTTTCAATGGATTTAAGCTTATGGGTAATTCTTATATAGAAGGATGACGGAAGTGGTTTACATAGGATATATCAACTTTGGGTAAACATATTAATCCAATATGTTAAGTTTCTGATCTCCGTGCAATAATGGAAAAGTTACTAAATTTCTAAAATCCTTTTCTAATTGAGACAGAAAACTCTTGCTGTCGAAAATAATTTTGTAGTTGAAATTAACCTTTAGGTATTTTATATAGATGTTGCGTTCCACTGGAGGGGTTTTTGAATTTTTATTAAGAGTGTTAAAGTCTTCGGCACTAGCTGTCCATCTTCTATGTTGATAATCATGGATTTATCTGCACTTCAATGGTAGAGAATAGGTCTTTAGCTATGTATACAAAAGTGGTGATGTTGGCAAGTCCTTAGTTTTCTTATGATATAAAATATTTTATTGTATTATTACTACTATAAAAATAAAAATTATTTTTATAAAAAAAAAATCATTCAATATAAATTTAATTTCACTATGATTATAAAATTTCATATGTGTGATATTGAATGACCAAAGCTACTGGAATAAAAAAGACTGAAAATTTATATAATACTTCAATAAATTGATTGTACATTTTATTTATAAATGCATTGATGTTAATAACATATATTTTATGGCAAACATGTGTTAGATGAAAATATAAAGGTAAATAAACAGGTAAGGAAGGAAGTAAAGATTGGAAAGTAAATTTTCTAAATTGTATTGAAAAATATTACAACATTTTTTAAAGGTTCTTCAAATTGATCATTAATTATATATAAAATAATATAGTAAATATATAAATGAAAAAAAAAATTTAATTGGTAGATTTAACAATTGCATAGCCTTGATCAATATCTTGTATTAAAGATGAAGCCAAAAGTCCTGGTGTAACAGGTGTTTTCAGATAGTCTGAAACTAATTTTCTTGCTGGTTTCCCACCACCATGTTGTAAACATTCGGTACGTAAACGTTCACCCTGAATATTATTTAATGGATCTTTACTCAGAAATTCATGCCATGTACGTGCTGCCAATGCTTTAGATACTAGATATGAATAATATTTTGCTCCATAACCGACAAAATGTGAAAACCGTAATTGCCATGCCTAAATAATTTTAAATGTATTTTATAACTTATATTTGTGTAAAAAGTATAATATATATTACTGTATTTTTAACATATGGCAACCCATAGTATTCTACTTGTAATTTTACAAGTAAATCAGTCGTACTCCGTGGCTGTGGAGCATGTGTATGATAATATTGGTCAAGTACAGAGTAAAATAGTTGTAGCTGCATTTCTGAAGCAGCAAAGAGATACTTGGATGCACATAATTTCTTCAGCATATCTTCTGGCATAGGCTCTCTAGTTCTGTAATGCTTAGCATACTGTTTTATGGCCTGTAAATAATTAATTAAATTAAAAATTTGAAAGAAATCTTATCAGAATAAACCAATTCAATTATACCATATGATTCCAATCATCTTTACTCAGAAGATTTTATATGTTAAATCATTTTTTTTATAAACTTCAATGTAATTCCATTAAATAAATATAATTATAAACTCAACGTTATGATATACATATTTTTTTTGAGTAATTTTACTTAAATATTATTAAAAAAAAATCCATAAATGTATACAAAAAAACCCTCTAATTAATATTATTAATTGTTAAATTATTATTATTTCACATTATGAAAAACTATAATAATTTATTTAGTATAAAGGTTTGATATAAAACTGATAATAATTTAATGAAAAAATAATTATATAGCCATAAATTATAAAAATAACTTCTTTTTTGAGATAATATTGACTTGACACTTAAATTTATTTGTAACAAATTGCATACTACCAAAGCAAGTAAATATTTCAAAATAAGACACAAAAAAGTTCACACTTTTTAAATAAAATTAAAAAGATTGTCCCAAATTCAAATTTACAAGAAATGTTATAGTAATCAAATTTTAGAATTGCATATACTTAATGAAGTAAGGAAATTTAATTTAATAATATCATAGATTTACATAGATTATAAGAATAAAATTATCTTTCCAATTTTTTGAATAATAGAAAAAAATTTCAAGCAGTGGCGGATCTAACGGTCGTTTAGTCGGCAAATGCCTACGGGGCCCCTAGCTATATTTAAGTATGAGGCCCCGTACATTTTTGGAAAACCCAAAGATTATTTTTTTGTTTTTTATTATAAAAATATGTAAATCAATTAATACAGTTTGTATTTAAAAAAATTTCAATAAGTAAATAGGAGAACAAATTAATATGACAGACAAAAAGACGGTGAGTAAGGAAGCCATCCAGTGATATAGGACTCTTAATGGAATACCCTATGTAAAAATAAAATGAGTTGATAATATTATTATTTTATTGTAATATTATCGTTGGTTGATTGTGAATAATCTAACGAGTCGATAATCGGTATCTAAAATCTATTATCTACTATTTAAGGTGTAACTATCTAAAGTTTTAGATTAAACTGACCATTGATAATATTTTATATCTTCACAAATGTATTTAAAAATATTATCTAACAACAAACAATAACGATTTAAGATCATTTTAATTTGGTGACATTACTACGTGAGTACTGAGTTATGAGTTATCTTGTCTACCTTACTCTACACAAGTTACATTGATTAAATATATTTAACAGTATATTCAGTGGCGCATTTAAGGGGGGGGGGGCGAAAGGGGCGAATGCCCCGGGTGGCAAATTTTTGGGAGCGGCAAAATAACTTTTATTATTGATGTGTTCGTGATTTTTTTAATTTTCACACCATTTTCAGTATTGTTTAGTATTTTAAAAATATTATTGAGTATCGAATAAGAAATTAAAAAAATTATACTATACCTAGTCACCTAGGTAATAGTGTAATAACAAAATAGTTCTATTACATTTATTATTCGATAAGATATTATATTTTCGTTCGATGTTTATAATAAAGACTCGGGTACACAGAACGCGGTATTCACTTTAGAGCACATTTAAAAAGTTTACAAAAGAAATAAAATTGTACCTTAAAGTGTTCAATGTATGTTAGCATTAATAAAAGAGAATAGTTAAGTTGAAGTATATTCTTATATTGATATTGCTCTAAGGATGCTACTATGTATGTACACCTTCGAGTAATTGTTCAACGGAAAAATCATTTTCTTCATTAAAAAGGATCAAAACTTATTTAAGATCAACAACGGGAGAAAATCGTCTTAATTAATTAACAACCCTCAACATTGAAGCTGATTTAACGAAAACTATTAATATTTATGATATTATTGAATGTTTTTCTTCTCAAAAGTCAAGAAAAAAATTATAAGCTATCGATTATTTTATTATATATAATTAATAATAAATATAATATATTTAATCTAATAAAAAACCATGTATTGTTAATTATTGTGCATATAATAAGTGTTAATTCCGTTTTCTATATTCAATATATATAT